CAGCGCCCCCTCCCAGCACTGCCTCCAAATAGCACCCGCGGCGGGCACACTTTGTGCGCTCTCCGTTGCGACCTTATGCTAATGAGAAAAGTGAATTGTTTGAATAGGTTGTTTGTGGTTCCAGCTGTTTGCTGTTGTCGTTTTATTGTTGCTTTGCCTGGTAGCTTGTTGGCGGCAAAAGTGTTTTGCCTTTGCCGCTTTATGACATGTTTAACCAACAACAGGACACTCCAATGTCCAGTTGCCGTCGACGTCGTCGTCTGCCATTGATTGATGCAGCATCAGCCCAGAGCAAAAACTGCCAGCAAACAACTTTATTTAAAGCGGCATTCATGAAATATTCATGTTGCATGCAACAACAGCAGCAGCAACAACAACAACAACAACAGCGACAATCGCTGCCTGACAGGACAATGGCGAACAGCTTCCCACAGCGTGGCCATAAATTGTTGAAACTTTTGCTGCTATTCAGAGTTGATAAAAATGCAATTGATCTAGCTGTACATATACACATATATACAGAATTATAATGACCATAATTCATGCACGTATTATTATGTGCCTTCAGGCATTCGGTAGCAAGAAACTTTTATTGAACTCCCTTGAAGTTAACTAAAACTTAAGAAAAGTTTCGCGTGCTTCAAAAACAGACTATCGCAAGAGTAAGCCTCAGTGTGAGGTAATTGTCACACAAATTTCCAGGCTAATCGCAAAATGTTAAGGATATCGCATCAAAAGAAAGTTGAAAGTGATTGAGAGAGTAAAAAAGAGAGAGAGACAGAGACAGAGACAGAGAGAGAGAGAGAGAGAGAGAGAGAGCATTAAGAAGCTATAGAGCTACGGCTTAAGTCACTTCAGTCTATAAAAGAGATCACACAATTCTGAATACATGGAAAAAATAGTTGTGCAAACGTTAAGGATATCGCACTAAAAGGAAGTTCAGAGTATGTGAGAGCAAGCGAGACAAAGTCAGAGAGCACATGGAGAAGCTACAGAGCAGAGGCTTATGTCCACTTCTTCATTTCAATATATAAAAGAGCTCAACATTTCCTAAAAACAGTTATGCAAACGTTAAGGATAGCGCATAAAGAGGAAGTCAAGAGTGTGTGTGTGAGAGAGAGAGACATAGCGCGGATGAGCGCATACCTACACAACTTAAGCTAAAGTACTAAAGAATTTCACAAAATTCCGATTAGACAGCGAAAGCAGTTGTGCAAACGTTAAGGACAGCGCACAAAGAGGAAGGGCAAATTTTAATGCGTTCAAATTAACCAAGAAAAGAGATGTTAAAAGCACCATTTACATAAAGTGTTAACTCTGTCTAAACTTACAGACGTAACACCTCAATCTGCAAATTTTCATTCACTTTGCAAAGGTGCAAGGATTAAGTTATACAAAATGCTGGTCATCAATCTTAAAGGGTCATCAGCATGTTAAATACGGCCATGATCTCAGTCCATTTTCCGAATCGCCTTTAACATATTTTCTGCTACACTTGCTTGCCTATACATCTTTTTAGCTAAAAACGCCTGCTGCTCTTCAATATGTTACTAGAAAAACCCGCAACTGCTGCCTGCTTGCCTGCCTGCCGCCTGATCCACTTCAGCCGTTTTGACCATTTATTTGGTCAGCTTAAGATTGACCCACATCTGGCAGAGCTTAGGTTACCAATTTTATATGCGTTGTTTGCCCAACTCACAGCCTGATGTCCGACTGGCAGCCTGTTAGTCACTTTAATGCCCAACCACGTACCGACCTTGTGGTCATCAGCTTTAACTATTCGTTCAGACGAGAGTGCATTGGAAAATATTATCGGGCACACAAACTATAAATTGGCTTAAGCCAACCAGCTGAAAACTTGCCCAACATCCTATAGCTAACAAAAATCATGTGTGTGTGTGTGTATGTATGTTTGCCTTAAAAGTTGCCTCCAGCAGCTACCAAAAAGTGCCGAGCCGTGGAGGAGGAGAAGACCAAACAGCAGAAAGACGAACAACGTTTGACATTTCTGAACTTTCAAGCACTCAAGTTGCAGTTAGCCATTATTGTACCCCATACCCATTGAAAATAGGAAAACAAGGGTATATTTAAGTTGTGAAACTGCATGTAACTGGCCAAAGGTGGAACTTTCTCGGTAAGCGTCCCAGTTCCTTTTTAAAATTAGTATCTATACACATTTGAATCTCGATTTAAAGCCCTGTTCATTTCATAACATTCCATCAATCCACACAAAAGTTATTGAATTTAGTTTAAAAAAACAGGGTATCTCCTAATCGAGCATTGTCGACTGGGGCACTCCTGCTGGCTGTTGTTTGTCCCAAAGTTTTTGCAAACAATAATGTTTTGCATTTGATTTGCAATAATTTTCTTTTTGGCTAATTTTTTACATGACATTCACTTGTCAAGTGCAAGTTTTCCCAATGACGCCGCATGACTTTTACCGAAAGCTAAAGCCAAATGACAACCAGTTTTTTTCCCAGCATAAATTACAATTGGCCAGGCCTAATGCTTGCGTTAAGTCTTTAAACTGTTTTTGACGTTTTTTCTTGGCCATAAAAGTAACATTATATCATGACGCAAAAACTAAGAAAACTTTTACTTGATATGACAGCTATTGCGCACTCATCATGTTATTTACACAGTAAAAACTTTTGATTTAAATTTTAAACTGTTTTTATGCTTGCCATCTAAAACGGGTACATAATTGACTTTAAACTAAATGCTTTTGGAATTTAACATATTTTAGTGAAAAAAAGTGATTTCCTGTGGCTATGTTCGAGTTTAAAATAAGAAAAAACTTTTAAAAAAGGCATTTCATTAATTAAAAATAAACTTTAGTAAGCAGCGAACCGGAGTCTTGTTACCTGTCAGGCGGGCGTCTTTCCACCGAGCCACTCACGCTGTAAGCCTTGTCTTGATTTAAGTGCTTATGTTAAATTAAGAGCTTAAGAGAGAGCTTTAAATGAGAGGTTGAGAGCTTTAAAATACTGAGATAAACAATATTAAATGAAATATTGCTGTGAAAATTCAGCAATATTAAATTGTCAAATTTCATATCATTTAAATGAAATGGTTTCAATTTGAATCGAAACAAATTAAAGCCAGCATTTTCAGCTGTGTATTAAAAATGTGAGCAATCAGTAAGAGTTTTATTGGTTTTCGGGTTTCAAATTTAAGACAAACCTTGTATGTCTTCAGTTACATATAAATTAAGTTTAAAGTTTTCATTTTCAGTTTGCTTAAAAGTTGTTTCTCTCGCAGTTCCCACAAGTTGCGCATTAATCAAAACTCAACAAAGAACTCGCAAATATACATTCCTTTTCAACTTCATTAGCAAGAGAGAGAACGGAAGAGAGCGAGAGGAAAAATGTGAGCGAATTCCGTGCATATTAAAAATTCATTAATGATATTTTTGCATTGTTCGCTTTTGTTGTATCATGTTTTCTCCTAAGTTTCTGTACATTAATATTAATGCGTAATTGCATTTTCATTGCACTGGCATTCTGGCATATTATCCCAGTGACCGACTTATCGATGCCCTTTCCCCGCCTTATGCTCATTTGGAAATGCACGCCAGATGGCGACAGCTTCTTCAAGCATGGATACATCCTGTTTCTGATTGGATTAAGCTCGTAATACACTTGTGTGTGTGTATGTGCGTCATTTGCATATTGTAGTCTAAATTTGAGCGTGACAGCAACAAAATAACAACAACAACAACAACAACAAATGGCATGACAATAATGAAAATTGAATTATATGCTTAATGAAAGCGTCGCCCTAAAGTTGCTCCTCGAGTTCTGCTCCTAGTTCCATTTCCCATTCCCCCCACGCCTAACACAACAGCACAGATTTACGTCATTTGCATTCTGCTCTCTTTGTTTGTCTTTTACTCGTGCGCTGTTTAAGTAATACATAAATTCATCTGGCGTGCTTTTGTTTATGATTGCAATTTACATTTTATTAGTCGAACGTTGCGTAGGGCTTCTTAAGTGAAAACGAGTGAAAATTCAATTTAGTTTTGTCCGCCCGCAGCCTTTGATGCGTCGTCCCATTGACAAATTAAGAGCTTTTCACACAACACTTGATGCATTTGCATTGCTAATTAGATCAATTGCAAATACATGTAACAAGAATAAATTTGTAAATAAATCAATTATTTGGTTTAATTGCTTACACTGTAAAAGCCCCAGCTTCCCTGAGGCAAAAATCTTCCTCAGTTTCTAATTCTTACATATACTGCACTTCCTCTCTTAAGCAAATGCGAACCGAGATGGAACTTTGCGTATTCACTTAAGAGAACTCTAACCGTAAATTTGCTGATTTCTTTTGTGCAAGTATCGAGTCTTCTTTGCGCTGCTTTAACCGCTCACCCACGTGAGAAGCAGCATAAGTATCGATAATCCCATTTGCTTTATATAAAATATTACATACAACTAGTATTCGAGTTACCCTGTGCCGGCGTTCAACCGCACGCAACACACAGGCAATATTCCAATTAGCCGCATGTTTATACATGTAGGTACTTACCCCGCCAACACGTGAGTTAGTTAGGCTGTGCCGGCATCCAGGCTTACGCATATTCCAATTAGTCTCTTGTTTGTCCAATTTTCCAATAACCAGCTCTTGCCGCCAACGCAATATATCTGATTAACTGATGCACGGCAAAAATAATTATTTTATTCACATTTTAAGCGCTCGCGCTGAAAATTACGGTTATCGCGCAGCTCGCGCTCCTATCTACGCACACACAAACTGCTCACTTACAGGAACTTATATGCGCTTTGTCTGTTTACTAGCTAACACAATTTTGACTCTAATTCCTTTTGCTTGCGCGCTTGCCCTTGCGATGGTAGCGATCGTGATAGCTTTGCTATTGCCACTTATCGATTTTCAATGTTAATAAGCAGTCTCCTGTTTATGCAGAACATTAACAGGTGTTCGGTAATGCAAGCAAATATGTATGTACATATGTAAAGTAAAAATGAAAACTGCAGACATGCCTGGACATGCAAACATGTATATAGATCATTTATTTATTCATTATCCACAATTATTTTCCGTGGGGATCTAGCGGCTCGAATTCAAGTAGATTCAATATCTCATCGCCATTCGCTAGTTTGGGTTCCGTCAGTTTGTCCTTGCACGGCGCGGGCAACACTTTAAATAGCTCCATTGATTTATCATCGATTTTGCATTTTTGCACTCTGAAACAACCGCCATTATTGCGCTGCAAATATGCTGTTTTGCAGCCGCAGTTACTTTCACAGTTGTAGACGCAATCGGCGCCCTCTCTTGGACAACTTTCCTTGCAATAATGATGACAGGATTTATAAATCGGGTTACGGCAGGGCACCTGCCGCTGCGCCCAGCTTTCATCCAGGACCAGCAGAAGCCAAAGGTTAACAAATATCACCCAATTCCACATGGCAGCTGTCTACTCGACAATGGCGAGCTGTTTGGTCGAGCTACCTCTTAAGTTGCCGTGAGCAATTGATTCGCTAGGAGAAATTCGGCACATTTAATCGCTTCGCTAAGCTAAGCAAATTATATAAATAAAAGGTGCACTAGAGGTGGGCGCGTGACACGAACACGCACGACTCAGCACACATGAACACGACATTACACGGAAATTAATGGCATATGGCATATGGAAAAAATATCTATTTAAATTTGTAATCTAAAAACAAATTAAAAAATAAAATAAAATAGTATTTCCCAAATCCAAATATATTCAAAATAAAAAATGAATCAAAAATCGTGCGTTTCGTGTGTCGTGTTGGAACACAGGTCCAACACGCGCCCATCTCTAATGGGAACACCTTTCCATGTGACACTTCAACTGACTGAACCGAGTGCCAGTTGCCTGTCTGGGCGCAGCTGAGTTTGGACGCACTGCAGCGCCAGCCGCGCTGCCTGCGTATCAATGTATATTTACATACGTATATTGTATATGTTCATGCCGCTGTTTGTATTTGTGAGCTAGCTAATCCCTGGGCGGCGGGCCGCGTGGACGCAGCACGCTCTCGAGCAGATTGGGTCCGGGCTGGTTCTTGGGCCTGGGCGTGGGCGTCAGTGAGCGCGTGTGCGGCGCCGCATCCTCCTTCTTGTGCACCGCCGAGGTTGCCGCACGACGCGCTCTAATCTTCTCCTCCATTTTGCTGGGCACCATAAAGCAATTGGACTCCTTGTAGACGGGCTTGCGGCGATCGTTCCACGGGAAGGTCCACTGTATGGGCGTAAAGTCGCGTCGCCAGGGCTTGCGGGGCTTGAACCAGCAATCGCATGTCCAGTCCTCCTCACCGGGTGCATCATCATCACTGCAAGGATCAGGCAGCTGTCAATTGTGGAACCAATCCTGCCACAACCCAACCCCCTCTGCCTACTTACCCACGCACAAAGACGCGCACATAACGGGAGGATCTGCGAAAGAGCTGCAATGCCTCGTTGAAGGTCAGCTCCAATGCGGGCACATCGTTAATCTGGGTTATCTCATCCCCAATACGCATGCCACCGCGCTTGGCCAGACCCGTCGGCGAGACATTGACAATGGTCAGCGGCTCGAACTGATCTATGCCGCCAGTTACCTCCATGCCCCACATGGCATCGTAAAAGCTCATGATCCGACGATCCGTCTCCAGGGTGTAGGTCATCTGCAGCTGATACTCGACATTATCGAATGCATCCGAGTCGTACTTGGGCACCTTAATCTTCGAGTCGAACATGTTTGGGGCTTATTGCCTAGGGAAACACCGTGTGGAAAACTGACGACGTGACCGACTCTGCGTCCTCTTCACACGTTTTTGCGCCTTTGGCGGCGTTGGACGTTTGCTTTTATAGTCGCCGACGGATGCGACACTTGGCAGCCAGTCGCCACTCGCCAATCGCCAATCGCACTCGGGTGTCCCTCACCGGTCCCAGCCCATTGACAATGTCAATGTCTGTGTCTGTCGCATCGCTTGCCAAGTTAATTGACCAAATGTATTCGATTCGCCTTCGATTTGCATTTAATTGTGTCTATTTTTATGTCTCTGACCACAATCAAAGCGGAAGCTCATTGTGTGAGTTGTTTTTTTTTTTTGTTTTTTGTCTGTTTGCTGGGGTGTTGGGTTGCGCCCAGTTCAAAAGGCGATTCCAAGCCAGCCGCTCGGGAATCAGCCAAGCAGCTCCGTTTAAGCCAAGTCCAGTTTTCGCACACCTCGCTGAGCAGCAGCAACGGCAACAGCAGCCAGTTCTTAAAGTGCTAACAAGTCCAAAGCGAATGTCCAAGCGGTTGGATTTCACTGACCTCAATCGGCGACTAGTGACAATGCAACAACCAACAATGACTGCAACCGACATAGCTCAACCTGATACCCTGTTTCCAGCTGAGCAGCATACAGGTTCCTATACTTATTCGTACCCGATTAACCAACCGCCAACACACTCTGGGTAATGGAAAAACTCTCTTGATTAACTTCGGTGATTATAGTCCGATCTTTATAAAATTTGCAGGCCTTAAATAATGCACACAAAAGTGTGCATATACCAAAGCCCAAGACTAAATTTTTGCTGAAATTGAAATATTTTAGCTCTGTGTATACTAAATCACAGTCTACATATCAAATTTATTGTTTCTAGCTCTAATAAGCTTCGAGATATGCTCAAAAACAGTTGTCGATGATTTTAAACAATTTCAACTGCGTGAGCCATGGAAAAAGCTACGTTCAAAATTTCAAGGCTCTGACTCCTAAAGTCCCCGAGATCGTCGCGTAAGCTGATTACGAATGTATATCCCTTACACGCTACTTCAGCCTGTCACAAGCATTTGCACAAAACCATCATACCTTTTCACTCATTTTCAATGGTGATTTCAATCACTTATATTGAATTACAAGATGGATCCGTATACGAATCCCTGGCGAGTGAATGAATGTTGTATTGTATAGAAGCATCTGCATTTCAGAGACCCTAAGCCTTGAGATGCACCTTCCTTATCAGGAATCATCCCTCATTCCACTCTCCCTCTGTCTGTTAAGGCATTTACTACATTTCATTATACCCCATTTTCAATGCGTACAGGGTATAACAAGCGAGACCAAAACTGAAGATCCCAACGGCAACTGCCGAGACTTAAATGCGGATTTTACTGGCTGCTGCTGTTGTTTGTCGACTTTTGAATTATTCATTTGTGCAAAAACAACAAAAGACCCATAAAAACCGAGATGGTCAGCAGGCAGGTTAACTGAAAAAGAGAAGCCAACTACCAACTACCAACTACCAGCTAGCAGCTACGAGCGGCCAGCTGCCAAATGCCAAATGGCAAATGGCAATGACAAGTTGCCTAATTACCTCAGCTTCTCTTGGCCGCAGCAGCAGCGAGCGTTAAGTAAATTTGTCCCGCTGCGCGCGGCTCTTGGCCAACTTAATGCGCATACCCTAAGCCCCCGCCACCCCCTCCCCAACAAAGGTTAAGCGCTGGTATATATCCTGCAAAGTCTGCGATTTGCATCGGCGACAATTGCTTTGGCCTTATTCCTGTGCTCAGCGCACAATTGTGTCGAAGATTTAGTGCGCACTTTGGGCCCGCATTTACAAAACGCATACGCAATGTGGTACGTGGGCAACTGGCAACTGGGAACTGCCTTTCAAGTGACTTTATTAGCTACGCAAAGCCCACAGGACTTTGCTTTGCATATGCTACCTCAGCTGTTTTAGAGTCGAACTTGTGCCGAAGCAGAACGAGATTTATGCAGCTGACTAAAATAAATGAAAGACAAAAAATGCTTAAGGGCAGATATTAAAAACAAAATGTACTCTAAACAAGGCTTTCAAATTAAAGCAAGGCTGATTTCTAATTAAATTTGTGTGAGTTCTTATTACCCAGCTATAACATATTCCAGATAGATAGATACATGATTGAAGAAACGCAGCTTCACAAAAAAAAGTAGATAATTAAAAAAACTTAAATCAAACAGCTTTAAGCTAATTCTCATTCATTATTTTACGTATATTAAATTAAAAATATGCACATGACCTCTATAAGTCTTTACTTCTGGGAAAACCTCATTATTATTTATATTTACTTTTATTTTTTAGCTTTTACTTCGACCAAAAACTCATTATTATTATTATTGTACCCTTGTAGAGAGTATAGATTTACCATGGAATGTGTAACGCATATAGGGAGACATATCTGACCTAATAAATTATATATATTCTAGATCACCATCAACAGTCTAGGTGATATCGACATTTCCGACTGTCTGTCCGTCTGTTTCTTTCTATGCGAACTAGTTCCTCCGTCGATCTGTTGCAGGCAGCACATATGTTATGCGCTGCTCTATTGCTTATCAAAATATCTAACTCAAACTCGGAATTTATAAGTTTCACTAAGCTCCCTACATATAAGAAAAATCTTATCAACATCGGACCACTATATCATATAGCTGCTATAGGAAACATCGGTCGAATAGTAGGATCTTATAATGCAAAATATTCCGTTTTAAAAGATATTTTGATCTAACTCTGCATTTTCAAGCTTCACTATTCTCACTTGTCTAAAAGGGTATTAAATCTTGCCGAAGATATCCTTATATATGATATCTCATTTTACTAATATTATGTTTAAAATAGACGCTTATTCTATATAAAACCTTGCTGAGAGATGTGTGTGAAATGTAAAAATTTACCTGATATGCACAAAGCAAAAGGTTCCTTTATAAGTAATATTCCTGATTATTAAACACACTTAAATATAAAGAGTATAATAAGAATATAATAATAGATTCCTTTAATCTATTGATGAACATCTCTGGACAAAGCTATAAACAAAAATAAATCATAATAAAAATGAAAAATAAAATGCAATGATAAATGACTCGGATAAAAATAAAGTAATTTTAATGACAATGAATAATAAGAAATAAATTATAAATAATTATGATAATTATAAAACTTACCCATTATAAATGCAGAACTCGCCAATGCACTCAGCTCAGCTCCGATTGACAAACACGTGATTTACAGTTTTTATTTAAAGCCGTTTTAATTTATAATTCTTTAGTAGTGATACGCCCAATATATATATATATATATTTGTATATATATATTTAATTTGTTGTTGGATTATACATAGCATACAGTTGGAATTGTTGTTGCTGGCTGCGAGAGTTTGTTAAAATCGAATCCGACGACAAAATACTCTGCCCCGTTTGCTCTGCTCACGTACCCGAGTTTCATTTAATTTTCATTTAAATTGTATATATAATTTATATATATGTATATTGTGAATTTCAAATGTATTTGTATATGTTTCATATACTCGTATATATGTACTATAAGTGGAGTTAGCTCAACAATATAGATTTGCTAATACTTGGATTTAGCTTCGGCATTTACTGTGTGCAGCTATTAAGTTTTTTTTGTTTCTTTTTGATTGGTTAAATCAGCGCATAATTGTGAGTACAGTTATAAGATTATTATAATTACAATTCTCTAATATTTTACAATTCCAAATTAGTATTACATAATAGTTTAACAAATGTTTACATTTCGCTACAAACTCAAACTCAATCCGCTCGCTTATCGTGATTTGTTTCATTTTCTTTTTTAACGTTTTCCAATACTGAAAACATACGAAAGCGAACACCAAACAACATTTTCGAGGGGGCGGATTCACACTTGTCGCGGGGTACAAGTGCGCCCCAATGTTCTGGCCCACACACTACGGCAAATTTGATTGCCCGCCGCACGTCCCGGCTTAAGCTCGTGCCTTGTCCGAAGCAAATTGCAAATGAAAAAATTGTTTTACAAATTTTTTGCCAGAAGGTTTACATACATGTACACATATATATATGGCTATAAGTTTTAGAGGGTTTTACTGCGTAGATATTGCATTGTAAGCACATTTTTTGTTTAAAGTATCTTAGAAATTTACAGGTGGCCTTTGCATTAATTTTTTTTTGTTTGTTTTCGTTTAGATATTATCAAAACTACGTTAAATATTTTGTTCGCTTTAAGCAATCTGCAGGTGGTTCTTTTGAAATCGAAAGAGAGAGAGATAGAGAGACGGAGAGAAATAGAGGAATGAGTTAGGATTAAAGCAGTTTATAGCGGTTAACTAAACGTAAAGCTTCTAAGCGTCAAATTTTTGCATTGCCTTTAGACTATATGGAGCATTAAAGCGTTTTCTTTTAATTCGTATGTTTTTCTTTTTCGTATTTTTTTTTTTTTTTTTGTTCATCCCTTTGCTCTTCTTATATTGCCGTGCCATTTACATTGTTCATAACTCTTGTGGCTTTTCCTTTCTTTTTTTGAGAAGTTCAATTATATAGTTTATCAAACGCATACATATAGAGAATAGATTTATATTTCTAGAGTTGCATTAACAATTAATTGTAAACTGCTGAGCGTACGTTTACTTTAAGTCCCACACTACGTTCTATATACTGTACGGTCATTTTCGTTAACACACATACATATATTATGTATATATTTATATATATATAGGTATATATGTTTCTTTGTCTTGTATATGTATATGTAATTGCATTTTGTGTTTTCTTCATATGTCTTTGCTTGACTTGTATTATTAATTAAACAATATATCGTAAATTGTTGAAAATTTGTGTATAAACAGCAAATATATATATGTTTTTACAATATTGTATTATATATATATATATAGAAATATATATATGATTTTATATATGTTTGCTTTAGTTGCTCCTTTAAAATGCATATATATGTATTTTTATTTTTTGTTGGATTGTTTGTGTTTGGAGTGTGCTGTTCTTTAAAAATAGGCTCGACTGTATTCAACATAATATCACTTGGAAATTGAAAGTTTTGTTCGGCAATTAAATTATAAATTAATCAATTAATTAACTAATGATTATATTTATACAATTCGGAAACTATTTACAAAACATATTTGAACGTAATACCAATTCTGAGCGCCCGCAAAGTATGCCACAATACTTGTGGCCCGCTTACTTTTGGCTGCCCGGCGATTATCAAAATAGAATTATAATTAAATACAATACTCAATAAACATTGTTGTCACTACTTAATTATTACGTACGCTTTGCATTTTGAAGTTTTCTCTTGTTTTTCTTTTGTTTTTCTGTTGTGTGTTCTTATGCTCCTATATTGTGTTCATTCGCACGTTCATTAACATTTGCGATGGAATCCCAGCTATCTTTTTATCAATTGCCAGCTGCCTGTTGGGCCTGCTTCAAGCGCATGCTGATGCCCAGTCGTTGCAGCCAGCCATAGCCTGCGTCTCAGTAAACCAAAACGGATTCCATCGTAATTGTATCTCATTTGTTCGCGCTGCCCGCGTTCACCGCGTTGCTGGCCTGAATCTGCGATGCCGTCTGCGAGGCCGGCTCCAGTGTGCGTCGCGCCAGGCGGGATCTGTCAAGGTGTAATTAGACATTATTAGATTGGATATATAAATATAAGGAGCATCATTTGACTCACTTGATTTGACCAGCCAGCAGCGGATTGATGGCATAGAGCCAGTCGTGCACCTCCTTATCGCCCAGCGTTTGCAGCAGGTAGCCGCGATGTTTGGTCACCACGCTGCGGGAACGAAGTGGAAATTAATCAGTAAGCTATACATTAAATGTTATCGGGTATTGTATGGCTTTGCACAGTCAATGGACACATTTGTCTGGACGGTGGAATATTTAAAATTTATATACATGCTTCGCAACATGGGAAATATGTCTCTTAATTGTCTACAAAAGTAAATTTAATGCCTCACGAACGAAAGGTCAACTATGTTCCTTCCATATAAGCTTCTAACTCTGGGGGTGGATCTTCCCGAAAATTCGAAACATGACTTCAATCAATTTTTATAAAGAAGATTTCCATCATTCTTAACATTTGCGAAAGGAAGTTAACTTCCTAAAATGGTTTAGATTTTAGCTCTAGCGCTTTGGGCTGTGGGTTTACAATCTGTCAGTCAGTCAATCAGTCAGTGGGGAAGACTTCAGCTCACCTGAAAGTGTTGGGTATTTTGACCATGGCCGCCTGATCCTCACTGCACTCAACCTGTGCTGTGGCCAGATTCAGGACAGCGCGCTCCACAGGATCCTTCTCCGAGCGATAGATAAAGACATAAGGACGTCGCACAATCTGAGTGAATACAGAGATGGGTTATTCGGCTTCTCCTAACTCTTTATAGGTATAACTACTTACCACCCAGCGCTTCTTCCAGCCGGAACCGCCATGTTCGAGGACATTCAAGATACCCTTGCGTGCCACAACAGGACTAACGCGTATCTCCTCCAGTTCGGGCACATACAAGCGCATGGGCAGCGCCGGCTGTGTGGCCGGAGCGGGTGCCTCCCAGCCGTTTGGCGCATCAGCGCGGTCCGGTGAGCATAATCTGTGGATGGTCCAATAAATCTCAGGTTAGGTTAAGTTTTAAGGGCTGTGCGATACGAAAACAAAGTTACCTGTGTCGAATTACAAATTTGTTCTTTCTAATTTTGTGTTGAAAAAAAAAACAAACGAAACAAAAACGAAAACAAATATCGAAATTGTTTTTGAGTTTGACATTTCAGCTGAATAGTAGGGTGAGAATTTTAATTTGGCGTATGAGTTCTTTTTTTTGTGAGTGCGTTTAATTGGAAAACAACAGCCGCAGCAGGTGCAACAACAGCTGCTCGTTTGGCGAAAGCCCCAAACCCAGTGCATAGTTTTGATAGATCGCATCAGTTGGCACTTGGAGCTCGGCATGTTACGTTTACTGCTGCTCATTCACTGCGGCACACTGGCTGTGGTCATGCATCATGATGACCCGGAACCGGATCGTCACAATTACATTTGGAATCCATTTCCCGCTTTCTGTGGCCCCAATGCTACCAGTGTGCGCTGCGGCGGCGTCTGCCCCGAGACCTGCTCCCACATATCCCGCAGCTGTAGTCACCATTGTGGTGTGCCCTGTGTCTGCAAATTCGGCTACTTGTTCGGCGAGTCCCTGCTCAAATGCATTCGGCGCAGCGACTGCCCCGCGGGTGTACAGCAGCAGGAGGTGCAAACGCACCGCGTGTTTCAATAAAACAAGCTCGAATTCAGTTTAAATATGGCTCAAGAGATAAACTTTGCCTAACTTTTTTTCTAATTCAATTAAAAGAGGTTTCCTCTTTCTATGCAATATAAATTGCAGATATATGACTATGAAAATGCAATTCATTTCAGTTTTTAAGAGGCCTTCGCATTCCTCATTTCATGCAGCTGTAAAACGAGCTACTAAGAGTAATTTGAGCTCAATAGATCTAAAACCTGACCTATTTCGGCTTAAATCACACATCTCTATTAGAGATGGGCGCGTGATTTTTTCCTAATACAACTCTTAACACTAATCACAAGAGTCGTGTCAGTTGTTTAATTAGGTCGTGTTTAATTGGACAGAGTCGTGCTCAGCAGGTAGGTCGTGTTCAAAAGAACGAAGTTATGTTTAGTCGTGTTATGTTGTGTTTCAAGTCGTGTCTCGTAAATTTGTAAGTCGTGATTAGGTCGAGAAGGTAGGTAGTGTTTACGAAGTCCTGTTCCGTCGTGTTATGTGGTATGAAGTCATGTCATATCGTGTTTGGTATATTTTTAGGTCGTGTTTAGCCGTTTAATGTCGTGTCTTTTAAACTTAATCATACTAAGACTGTTACGTGCTCATTTCTAAGCTCAACTTTAATGTGCATGTGTTTATGTAATAAACTGTGTGGCCAATTGACTGTGTTTAACTAAAGGCTCGAAGAAAGCAAAGATGGGAATGGATCAAGCATGCCTTAAAAAAAAGTTTCAACTTACTCCATGGAATTGCTAGAGATGCAGCTAACTGTCATGTCGGCGCAGCCCTCATCGCTAGGCGAAACATCAGACTGGGTTTGTGTATCGCTCTGTTCGACCTTGCTGTAACGACCTGAAATGACGAGACAGTTCGTTAAGCACCAGTTCGTGTCCCCTTTCATTTAAGACTTGCCTTGCACCAGTTTCAAGCACTTGAGCATAAGCTCCTGCTCGCGCTGATTGTACTCGCGCTCGGGCATCATCTGCTGCGGATCCTTGACGGGCGTTTGTGGCGACTGTGGTATCAGCATGTGCACAGGCGAGGTGGCCGCACGTGCAGCCAGATTGCAAACATCCTTCTCGGTCTTGGTCGTCGGATTGGGATTGGTGTCCATGCCCAGACGCTCGCGCAGCAGCAACAGATGACGCATGCGGCCTACTTCCTCCAGACGCGTTAGTTTCTCCAGCTCCCATTGATGATCGAAGATCAGCGAGTCGCCGCGTGGCCGCCAGCCATGCAGATTCTCCTCGCCGCGCACATACGTGGAGCTGGTGTCCAAAACGCGACGTTGCCGACGCTGCACACCTGTCGAATGAAGCATAAAGCGTATTGAGTGGCGGGTTCTAAGAATTGTGCGCGAGAGCAAAGGACGATTACAACTACAATGAGAATTGCTACCTGGACTACCTGCTTCGGATGCTCTACGCAGCGAGAGCTCGTAGACGCCAGAGAGACGATTGGCCTCCGGATTGCGATACTGGCCAGAGAACAGATGCTTTAGTGAGCGCGGGCCGGTGCGTGCATCGCGTCCATAGATAACCATGCTGAGATCCTTGGTAATAATAGCCGGACGGGCGCAGTTATCCAGCTAAAAAAGACATTCTTTATAGGCTGTTAAACTAGACTAGGATTGAAACAAACCTCCAGATAGGCGCTGAGTGTAATGTAGATAGTCTCGCCGCCCTGCGAGACGCGATTGAGTAGCGCCGAGTTGTGCAGACTGGAGTCCCAGGCGGCCTCAAAGCGATAGAAGGAGCGATCATCGCCAGGCACCTCCAGAACCTCGCCCGGAAACAGGCCCAGCGACAAGACGCAGGCGTCCTCATCCTGCTCATCCGAAGACTCGGGCGTATTGCGTATGCGACCAACCACCAGCTCATTAATGTCCTTCCACTTCACCTCTGGCGTCGGCTCGTGCACAATGGTGATGCGTATGCGTCGCTGTATGCCCTGATGCAGCAAAAACAGCCCGCGGCAGGGAAGATCATCGCTGTGCTCAACCACCTAGGGTAAGAGGTAAAGCCAAAATTAATAACACCAAGTAAGAAGGTAATGAGAATGATAGTTAATGAGCAGATTTCATGTCTATATATGCACTTACCGATGGCACGTACTCCCCATTGGGTGCTAGCTCACAGATCTCGAACCACACCAGCACATCATGCTTCGCCAAGACCGTGGATGATGGCGGACAGGGCAGCGGTCCAAATTTGGGACTGCGCACTGGCTGACTTATGGGTATGCTTGGTGGCAGCATGCGTCTTGGTGGTGGACGAGAAACGAACTCCTGCTTGGCATCCTTGTGCAGCGGATGTGTCTGATAATGGCCAAAGATCTTGAACATGATGGGCTGTGTCTTCAAATACTCAATAAAGGATTTGGTAACGGGCACAGTTATCTATAAGGAAATGCAACATTAGACAAAGAGAACATTAAGAACTCGGTCGTAAAACGCACATTTTGCACATGGTAAAAACCGAGCGGAGCGCCCGAGGCGGAGTTTTTGACCGGCTCCGTGGAGAAGGCTTCCTCATGGCGATGCAAAAAGCTGTGGGGATGAACAAAAGCCTCAGCAAAAGTTGGATACATTTTAGTTATAATCAACCCACTTGAACTGACAGAAGATGTCTGCATACTCGGCGCCGATGCCCGTGGCCTGGAGCACGGTCACACGGAAGGTGAACTCCTTGCCCACCTGCAAATGCTCGCCCGGCTCCTCGGCATGCTCCTGGTACTCTGAGGCTGAATTCGAATCAATGCCGCGACCAGAATCGGCATCCTCTAGTTCTACAGAGAGCGAAGATTGCTGAGTAAGATGTTTTGAGGGCAAGCTCTAGACGACTTACCCTCCAGTTTGCTGTCCAGTCCACCATTGTCTATGTAACGCTGCACATCGTCCTTTTCGTTAAGCGCACGGTACTTGGGCTTGGCATCATCCTCGTTAAAGACCAGACGAGCTGACTGCTTGACCCCGTTGTTGAAATCAATGGACTCCTCGTCGAGCACCGGCTGCACAGCAATGCGTAGATAGCCTCGGACATCGCCACGTTCATTGACAATGGCCACCTTATGCACTAGGGGCACAGGATAGAGAAGGTTGCTCAGATAGATGAAAGAGCGACCGACCATGCGGAACCAAGGAAAGCGATCATAGAAGGGATCACCTCCAGTTAAGCTCTCCACATTGTAGTCCGGCGAAGTGGGACTCAGCTCCGCCTCGTTGTGATACATTTCGCGCATTAGTTCCAAACGTTGTCTGGAATTAATGGAAAGTATGAAAATGGATGGGGTTAAGTACTGCTCGAAAAGGTCAAGAAATACACAGCAAACAGTGCGCATAGACTAAAGCAGATATAAAGAAGCCTAGTGAAACAGCAAATAATAAAAAAACTACTTGGACTACATCGAAAGCCATACGAAGAACTGCAAAGGAAAAGTTTAAGCTAAGAAAAAGGCATGCATAGAGGGTGACAAAAGCAACTACAATACATACAAATGAAAAACCTCGAATGGAAAGCAAACCTAGAAGGTATCAGATTGGCCAATGTCAAACGCGTTGGAAACGCCTGACGCAGCTGAGGCTTCAACTCGGGCTGCTCCACATGCTGCTCGAACTGGGCCTGGGACTGAATTGGAGGCGGAGCTGGAGGCCTTGACAACTCCATCCCAGTCGCTCCACTGCCGTACGCCTCAATGCTGGACGTATCGAAGAGCATAGACGAAGGCGGACTCTCGACATTGTAAACTTGACGCATCAATTCGAGGCGATAGCTTTTGGGGGTTGATGGGTAAACATGGTTTGATGTATAGTTGGAACAAGGATTTCAACATGATTTGTTTGGGATAGTAAGAGAACCAAAAAAAAAAGGAGTACAAATCAGCATTTGTTAAAGCCGAAACTAGCTTTGTGCTCAGTGTGTGTGACAATGGCGATGAGTTTTCTTTGGAGGGCGTAAATGGTGGCGGTGAATTTTGCCAGCGTTTTGTTGTGGCTTTTCTTTAATTCAACTTTCAAATGACAAGTTAAGCAGTTCTAGAGCTTTACGAAAACTAGAATTCAAGAGCTACAACCACCATGCACGTACCAGAAAGGAAAAATAAAACTAAAACCAAAATACAATTATACCAAAATCAATTGAGTGAGGTTTTTTCTTAAACGAGAGAGAACAGTCGGCTTCGGGCTGGCCGAAGTTTTTACACCCTTGCATATAGATGAAACTACGTTTAACTAATCTAACATAAATACTTGTTCTCAAACCTAAAGAAGCTACATCTTTATATATATATTTAAGATCTTGTCCTAGCTGATCCGTGCGCAGCTCCAGCCGTAAGAGATCAACTTTATACTTAAGCTTCAAAAGTGAGGAATGACAAGCGGAAGAAAACGTTTTTCTGAAAAACATCTAAAAGAAGGCAGCTAATAAGTGAGCTTCGCAAGCGGGACAACCGGAAGGTCGTCAGTTCGAATTCAAATAATATAAGAAACAAATGTTCATTTATTATCCTAATTTTTGACTAGTTGTTCCCATAAGAGATATATTTTATGACAATCGGATAATTATCAAATTGCTGCAAGTGTTCTAGGTTGTAATATCTTCAAACCCCAAACAAAATTCTCAATAGTTTGCCTCCATGACATCTATATCTTCTACTTATATAGCGCCTGGAGCTAAATGATGACTATGTGAATAGAATCTGTTGCCCTAACCAGGAATATACAAACGTAAGGGAATTTGCAAGTATTTCTCTCTTCCTCTCTCTCAAACTCATAACACCCTCTGTAAGGATATAACAAAAGTGCAAAGAGTAGAAATGAATGTGAGCAACAAAAACTTGCTAGACCCAAGTTCTTGGATCGTCATCCTTACCGTAGCTTCTCCAGCGACCAATAATGTGTAGCCCCATTTTTGGTATCGGTGACCTCAACGGCGACCAGGGTCTTGGAAACTGGTGGAGCGCCATACTCATCCTCCGGCTGCATGGGTGTAACGCTGGAGGCGAGCTCCGGTGGCAGCGGTGAGTACAAGGTGTCGGTCAATAGGGTGAACTGGAATTGAACCTGGGAGAGAGAGAGAAAGAACTGTGTAACGAACTGCGACTTATTCAACTACTTTTACTTTCCCACCTTCTTCTTCAGCTCCACCGAAATAGCATTAGCCTCCTTGAGGAATATGGCATTGCCCCAGAGATCATCGCGCAGTGATGTGAACTGATGGTAGCGCCATTTGCGGAAGGCCCAAGCGGCTAGTCCAGCCTCGCGTGCCGTCCAGCAGGACTCGTACATGGGATTGGCTGCGGGGGTTGGAATAGAAGAATTTGGCATACTTATCTAGCAACTGATAGCCTTAACTTACTGTAGACATCCTCCTCCTGATGGAAATCCTCTGGCGAGTAGCTGCTGTACATCGACATGGTCATTGACTGCTCCTCCACTTGCTTCTGCAGCGCATCGATGCGCGCCTCGTAGGATTTGCGTTGCTCCTCGAACTGCTGATCTGCCTGGAGCTTTTCGCGCTTGTACTGCTCCTCCAGATTGTCGAGACGCTTCTTCATCTCGGCCTTGAGATCGATGCCCTGTTTCTCCAGCAGCTCGCACTGTGCGAAATTCCAATCCACTTGCTGTGTGTCCGCCTTCTCAACCTCATTCTCTGCCTCGTTCTCGGTTATCTTCTCGCGCAGCTCACGGGCCTGCTCCGGATTGGTAAAGCGGAACACATGATTCTTGCCCAGAATCACACGAGAGCCTGTCTTCAGCACCTCGGGTTCGACGAGCTTGCGGCCATTGATGAAGATGATGGCATCCTTGTGGGGCAACAGGGTGACGGTGCTGTTGCGATTCTCAAAGGTGCAGTGCTCCTTGAGAATGTGCGAGCCGGACAACTGTATGTCCTGAGGCACATTGGCCTCGTGTGTGCCCAGGCGTGTGAGGCCGTCCTTGATGTAGTAGAGCAGACACTCCGACAGATTGGGATCCTCGTTCAGATTGACCAGATGTGCTGTCTTTTTGGGCGAGAAAACGCCCACTGTGATGCCATCCTCTTTGACAGCCACGCCCATCTCGGCAAAGACCGCCTCACGCTGCAAGCGTATCTCCTCGGTGCGCTTCAGTTTCTCCTCCCAGGTCTCATTGAGTTCTATTTGGGATCGGTCAATCAGGCAACTGCATCTATTGATTGCCTTTGGGCGAGCTTACCTGCAATCAGCTTCTCGCTGGCCTGCAGCTGATCCACGGCCATCTCCGTGGTCGAACCGTTGCGATTACGCGATCCCTTGGTCGGCGACTTAATCCCCGACGACTTGTTCAGCTCATCCTCTGCAAGAGTGGAACACAAATTTAGCAGGAAATGATGGGGATTGGCTATTGTCACAAGCATAGTGATAAAAGCGTGCAGAGATAAGTTAGGGTATTTGGTTACGTATATTGAATATGTGGGTACAAAGCGTGGCCGATTCGTTTTGGTGACTCTTGGAATGAATAACTCTGGCGTGTCCACGTCTAGCCCGTGAGCAGTGCGGACTGCAAGGAGTACTCTGTGCCAATCTTTTGCACTCGGCAACACAAACAAAACTGCAGTGGGAGACAGGAATCGTTAAGATGCGGACGCAATTTTGCAAGATCAGCTGGGATCGCAGTTATATCTCATAATCTAGAAACTAGTCCAATCTTCCACTGTATATCAACTCGTTTCGAATAAAACGCAACATAAATAGGACTTGAACATTGATTATCATAGACATAAGAGTTTGTATATTGTCGTATATTGTTGTATATTTATATGGTATAAGGCATACGTCCTGAAGCGAATTTATGTTTACAGAAGCGCTGAAGTTACAAACACTCACACACACACAAGATTCTTGACTAGACACACATATGGGCACTTCCATGGAAGTTTCTAATATTTCCGAGAATTAGATATTACAATGCCACAATAAAAAGTTTAACGTTTAATAAGTTCATATTGTATAACAACAAATTGCTTTAATAAACTTGGCCAAATTTCGGACAGTTCTGCGTCTGGAAATGCCCATATGTTTCGTAGCGTATAGTATATAGGGTATGTGACATATTGTCATATTGCATATATTGTGTAAGCCTTTTGTTTTGTATTTTAGTTTTTAGTTTAGCTCAGAGTTGGGGCTTTACTTACTATTCGCATCGCGTTTCTCACACACCACTTTGCCATCGGGTCCTAAATGAAATAGGGTTTGTTTTTGGGGTTTTATGTACTCAGGCATAACTCTAGACTAGGACTAGGACTACGACTAACTTAATGTTTTCCCAGTTTTTTTTTATTTTTTAGGTAGCATTCAATTTCCGAGGGCTTAGGTTTAAGCTAAGTCAACTTAGTAAAGATATACTATATACTATATCTACATATATTGAGCTGCACTTACCCTCCTGCACCTCAATGCCCTCGGCCTTGAGCAGATCGCGCAGTTTTTGTATCTCCTCCTTGAGCTCGCGTATAAGCTTGGCATTGGCATCCTCATTGACCACAGCCTTGCACACAATTTGCTTGGCACGATCCGCATAGCTGAAGGGATTTAACTCAAGGATTAGTCGATACAGCTTGAGGGCAAACGAAAACCTACCGTAGGGTGCTCAGAGTTTCATCGTAGTTGATGTCAGCTGGCGATATGGCAGCTATCATGGCTGTCTTGGAGTTGCCGCCCAGGTTCTCGCGCAGCAACCAGGTCAAAGCGGAGTCGCGATAAGGTATAAAGTCCGCCTTCTTTGCGTTCTTTTTCTTCGATGCCTAATATTAAGGAGGAGTTAGAGCAATTCAGGGACTGAGGTGCTTAAAAATACTTACGGACTGTCCATTGGAAAGGTGGCAGGAAAAGGTGAAACCAGTTAGAAAAATTCATTAAAAAAAATAGAAAACTTCAATACTTACCACCTCCGCCAGGGCGGATATGACTTTTCCCAAGGTAGTCAAGGACTTGTTTATGTTGGCGCCCTCCTTCAAGCGAGTGCCTTTAGCGCCTGTCGAGTCAGCACGCTCCGATCCGGCCAAATCGACCAAACTAATCTTGGAGACCTTCTCTGTGAACAAATCTGTCATGGTATCATGCCGACGTTGTGTAAAGAAAATGGTGAAGACCGCATGGGAACGCGAGCTCGTCTCGTTCATGTTGGTGGCGGCCACAGTGCTGAGGAATAGAGCGAAGAGTAAAGCAAGCCGGACAGATAAGCAACAGCTTTAGCTTGACCTACCGCGCCTTGTTGCCCTCATCGATAAGATCATGAATGTCCTGGTAGTCGGTGACAGCCAACTTGGATAGATCTTCCACATAGGGACCCAGCAGTGGATGTTCGCGCACACGCAAATTGCCCTTGTTTTTGGGATTCAACAGATCCCGCACGCGTTCGCAATAGATTTCCATGTAGGAGACCTCCACGGAATACTTGAGCTCATCGGTTTCGGTTTCTTGAATGCGACCGAAGAGATCCTTGCATATCATTGGAATAATGCCCTCCTGTTGCTCCTCCTGGCGGCCCATCATGGTGTAGGATTTGCCTGCGCCTGTCTGCCCATAGGCAAAGATGCACACGTTGTAGCCATCGAAGGAATGCTGCAGCATCTCCTCGCCAATGTCCTTGTAGACCATCGATTGTGTTGAGAAGTCCGAATCGCGGGGCTAGAGTGGAAGTGGGATTAGCTAATATGGAGGCAGGTTAGTTATCCGGATCTTGTCTTACATCATGGGACCAGTAGGAGTAATCAAAATTGAAGCGTTTGATGGACTCGCTTGTGTTGGGCGGCACTTTCGGATTGGTTATGGCTGTTAGAAATAGAGGCTTAGAGGATTACATTAAACGGAATTTCTAGCTGCATTACCCGTTGTTGCGCCGTTCATCTCGATGATGCATTTGGACTCCCGTGCAATCTCCCGCGAGTTGAACGGGCGCACACGCACTGCTACCTTAACCGACGACATCTTCTAGTGGCCCGCGTCGAGCGTCGGCTGCTTGGCTTGTCTTAGGTTGCGGTTAACTGAAGTGGAAGAGTGGCGGAGGCAAATGGGTTAAGACTTGGCAAAGAATGTTATGCGATCCTGGAAATTGGCCCATAAATAAGCCACAAGCCGCAAGCCCAGCGTCATTTTATAATTGGCCCAGCTGTGTCTGGCTGTCTGTCTGTCTGTGTGTGTGTGTGTAGTGTGTGTGCGCCTGTTGTGTCTGTGTGAGCTGTGAGTCATGCAGCCCGCTAGGGGTTTGAATCAAATTTACATGATTGCAGTGGGGCTAAGCAGTCGATACCCAGCCGCAGCATGTGGCATGTTGCACAGGCAAATAGTTATCCCATTCCAGAACAAACTATTTGATGATATATAATTACAAAAGCTTTCTATTTGGAGCCATAAAAAAGTGTGTTGCATACTTAGCGGCATAAGCCACCACCCATATGCATAAATGAAAGTTTTTCATTAAAGTTAAAAGCAATTCCATTTAAGTGAAAGGAAAAATACAGTTCTAAATGTTTAACCCAATTATTTGGGTCAATATTGTCAGGAGTAGTTATAGGCAATCAACTTGTATATATGAAAAACAAGTAAGAGTACCCAAGTCGGGAGTGCCCGTCTAAGGGATACCCTGAACCTTCTTCTACGAAGGGTGGCAATAGCTAGGAAATTAACGATACTTGATTAGGATGTACTATTCTAGAAGCTACTTTTAAAATTTTGTGACAGTAGCTGTTAAAAGCTAAGAGATTTGCTCAAAAACAGGATATAAAATATTCGAATTTATCGTTGCTTGATAACAAATTCGCACTGTGCGGGAACTAGGAGAACCTGCGTTCATAATTTCAAGTCGTATGGTTCTGAGATCGACCCGTTCATACATACGGACAGACGGACGGACGGACGGACGGACATGGCTAGATCGACTCGACTATTAAGAATATATACACTTTATGGGGTCAGAGCTGTTTCCTTCTGCCTGTTTCATACATTTGCACAAAAAATTTATACACTTTTTAACCCATTTTGAATGGGTTCATGGTAGAATAATATGGTTACAATCAAATTTATTTAAATATCAAAAATTAGTCGATTGAGCAGAATTAAGCAAGATCATAGATAAGAAATTAAATCTATGACAATTATGCAGAAAATTGAAAAAATTTTATTACTGGAAAATTTTCAACCCTTGAAACTTCTTAAATATATACAACTATACAAACTACACATAAATATTTGACAAAAATGTATTTAATTACTATTTAGTTATATGTAATTTTAATTTAATTGTTTTCAATTTATAAAAATGTTAAATATTTTACTTTACGCCAAAAAGCTTTGTTCTTAGACAACAGATTTTTTTCATTTCCTGCTTCCTCGCATTTATGTAAATAGTTTGGTATAACCTGCTACCCTGCTGACTTATAGTTCTGCTGGCTGCCTTTTGCACACCCCACACACACACATACGCACACACACATGAGCACGAGTACATACTAGAAAAAATTCCACAATCCACACTTCCAATAAAAGCGCAGCCGAGTGTCAGGCACTCGAATGAGTCATCAGCGAAAAGAAACCCCCCTTACACTACCCAAAATTGTGCGTTTAAGAAAGGCTAATAAAAATATATTTTTGAATGCATTTAAAATTCAAGATTTTGTTACCTTTGAGTCTGTATTGGAGCCAAACAAATGCTGGCTAACACTTTGATGTTGAACTAGGCAAAAAAGTTCTTGGACTTGTTCATATTATAAGGAATTTTTATTTTAATCGATTTAATTTAAAATGAGTTCGCGTGAAATATTGTATTTATTTTTAATTTGTTAAATATTTTATTTCGTTTTATTTAGCGTACATTTTCAATGCTTGATGCCGCACAGTTTTTACACGACCGACGAGGTTCTTTAACTCGCGCACAGTGAAGTCCTAGAATATTGAGACACAGGACAAGGGAAAACTTTAAATATTTCCAATGAGTTAGCCTAGAAGCACAAATGATTCGCTTTGCGCAGCTGCGATAAGTTCTTGCTCAAGCTCACAGTCTCTAGGATTCTCTCTTTCTCTTGGGTTTCTCTCTGTTTACCTGACGCACAGACTTTTGTTTATATTTTTGCTGAAACTGTCAAAGCAAAAATGCAACAGTCTGCGCTCGAGTCTGGGCAAAAGTCTACAAAGAGAACATTGCGCAGATGCCAGCGAAGAGATAGATAGATAGAGAGGGAGAGAGTTAGAGAGAGAGAGAGGGACTCAGTGAAAGTCAGAGAGAGTGAGCAAGAACTTTGGCATAATATTTGTGGTATGTTTATAATTCTTTATATGCTGTTATGCTTGCTGACGCGATTGGAATGTGCTGGATATAAAAATTATAATAAAAATTAGAATCAAATGCAAAACAAGGCATAAAATACTATCAATTTAATTATGGAATTTATCTCTTTTTATAGACAAGTTCTTAGCTCTATTCATTTCACACGTGACCTTCTAGACTCTTGCTTCTTTTCCTATCATTAAAAGACGATGCCTTACTTTCTAGATTTTCTAAAAAGTCTACAGCTAGAAATTCAGTTTGAGTCAGTCACTTTTTCAGTTAGTTCTTGAACTTAAGCTTTTCTTTTTTTGCCCCTGATTGAGTCCTTCAGACACTTAGAGCAACAAAATAAATCCTTCACATTTCACTTCTTTATTGCGGTGCGTCATGTTGTGTCTCTTTTATGGTTTCAAGTACCGTGACCATTAAATGCTACATACACACACACATACACACACACAACCACCCCACATACACACACACTACAAGTTTTCCTCTAGCATATCCTTCGCTTGGGTCGTCTTGACCTTTATTAATAAATTTCCATGTTGCCTTCGTCATGGCTAAAAAAAAAAAAAAACTCTACCCTCACAAACTCTACACAAAGCTAGGTGCATTAATTTCGAGGCAACTGTAGAAAAATATGGCAAAAAAAAAAATATTATAAGAAAAATTATATGAAATGAAAGCAAATAATGCAAAAATGATTTGGTGGACATTTGAATTTTGAAATGTTTCTTTGGCGAATCAATGAAAATTTTGCAAAATATTTTTGTGGATATTTTTGAAGCAATTACCAATTGAATTTGGGTGGGCAAAACACAATAAAAAACGACAAAAACTCAAAATAATTTCGGCTTGAAGATAAACTGCTCTGGTTGTTGTAGGTAATCCTCCTCCCGTTGTTGCTGTTGTTGTTGTGGATGGTGCTCTTCATCGAATGTGAAATTAAATATTATAAGACTATCCATCATAGATCTTTTCGAGGAGGTGGGAAATATGATCGATAGCACCAAAACTATTGTTAGCAATAAAGCAAAAAACAATAAATAACCAAAACCGCACATTCGCGTAAAAGTTTTCGCAACGTTCTTCAGATTTATAGATATAGATATATATATATGTATATACTATAGGTATAATATATGTATGTATAAGGCTTTCTTCTGTATAACAGCGAAAATTGTTCACAGAGCTTAGCAGCTTTTTTTCAGGCCAACTGCCTGATATTCAAGTATTTTGCAAGTATTTTAATTTGTTGTTACGTTTGTTTCTTTTTTGGTTACAATTTTTTAACACATTTTTTGTGGCTTTTTTTGGTTTTCTGCACAAAATCGATGGCCAATCGAGGCGTAGGCCGATAAACGCGCGCGCTTCAAACAAATGTGAACTGCAACCGTTGGGGTTAGACGACGCAGTGAGCCGAGCTGCCAGGCAACCGAGCTGGCTAAGGCAGCCTCAGCAGGCGGCGACCAGCCCTCAGCTGAGGCGCATGCGCTGTTTGGGGGTTGGTGGGCGGCGGTATGTGGGGCTGGCTTCCTCCCTCACTCCCCCCCCCCCCTTATTGGCATGACAGCTATGCTAAAAATTTCATCAAGCGTCCAGCGCAATAATAACAAAATGCGTTGCCTGTCAAAAAGTAGCGCATAATGAATTTCATTTTAGTCGCCTGCCTCTTAGCGCAACTGTTACACGTTTTTTGGCCGCCAGTGTAGACAGCCCACACTGCGCAGTTAATAATACGAATAGCTGAAAAATCGTATTATGTCGCTGCCGGCGAATGACGTAAAATAGGAAATTTCTATTGATTTACCATCAATGTCGCATACCACGAGCCAGCTTGACGCAGCGCGGATCCGCTTTTTATGCTCGTCTTTGCATTGTCTCCAACGTAATTGCTTTGACATTGAAAATGTGGGCGATAAAGCGACAGTTAATGGTTAATGTTGTTAACAAAGTCTACCACAGCAGCTACTGCCTATTGGCAGGGGCCAAGAGCAAAGCAGGACAGTTGGGCTTGGTGTAAGCCAAAAGGCTCAAATCGAATTTGAATCGAACCAGTTCGAAGCTGGCCATAGCCTGATCCTATGGGAAGAGGCAGCAGGAGGCTTTTGCGATCCCATAAAGCCGTATCAAACCAGAATAAAAGTGTTCTGTTAAACGTACGTCACGAGCCTGCGTGGCTAAGCATCGGTCTGGCAAACATCTGGCCGCTGGTTCAAATCCATTTTTATTTTGTATATAAAGCTAAATATGCAAGGTTAGGCATTTTATCATTTAATGATTTTCAAGAAAGATACACCTGAGTAACTATTCAATTCTATATCAAATCGAAAACAAAGAAAACTCCACAAAGTATGCTTTAAGTTTTCTGCATTTTCACACTGCAAAAACGTCATACACAGAAAATGTCAGCGACGACGCATCGAAAAACCGCGTCGCCCACGCAGTGAAAACCTCTTTCCACACACATCCCAGAATTGTGCGTGGGTGTGCGTGTGTAAAGTGCGGCAAGCGGTAGGGGTTGCTCGGCAAGGTGGAAATTCTATTGCTGCGCAGTAAAAACTGCAACACGCGAATGGCGGACGGCAGCCAACCCAAATAATATCGAACGAATTTGTCCCGTGGGCGGGTCGTTGACGTATATAAAAATTTTGTTGTTTTTTGAAGTTTGCCATTGACTTGAGGCACATTCGCATGCCCAAAGCAAGGGATGCACACACTGTGTGCGTCAATGTCAATGACAGTTCATGGACTGGTTGGTTATACACAGGGCAAAGGACACAGATTTTGTGGCATCATCCTGGCTGACAGTTCGTAGACTTTAAACCATTAAAAAAACGTGCTTAAAACTAGTGTGTGCCTGACTTGAGCATACTCTCTACTTAGCTTCGAGCTGCCTTTAGATGCTCTCACATTCAAACTTAGTTCTGTATAAAAACATTCTTACATTTTTTCAGTTTTTAATAACTAGAGAGTTACTGATTCGCTCGTTATGAAGTTTTCTGTGTTAAAATATATATTACTATTTAGTGAATATACAATATTGTCAGTTTTAAATAAACTTGAGTTGTAAGCAGATTTTAAAATGGTAACATAAGGATTTCGGAGTAGATTATAATAAATAAATATAGTTAGCGTATGGTAACGAGAACTTATGTTCACAAATTTTAGATATCTAGACTGGGATAGAACATCGAGGCTGTTCTTGCTGAGCACAAGAATATAAGAAATCAAAAAATATAAAAATTATATAGATATATATAAATAAGTTCGCAGATAACGTCTTCTGCCTGCTCTATGCATATTTGCACACATTTGCACAGCTTCAATCTACCCATTAATATCATATTTTAATGGGTATAGATTATAATGAGTCTTGCAAATTAAAAAGCACAGCTCAGGACGTATTTACAATTGAATTCTGTTTTTAAATTGAGGCTCGCAGGCAATTCACTTAATGTGAAGTGTGCGCAGACAGGCTCTTAATTAAGCTAAAATCAAAAATATACACATATATATATATATACATATATAAATATGCATATATATAAAGAAAACATATATATAGACCTTGCCTTCAAGTCGTGCACAGCAAGCGGCAATGGCGACGTCTGTGTCGTCCATTAAGTCAGCTACATAAAACAAATGCTATTTTCTTATTTAAATTAACGCAAGCAGCAAGCAGCGACTGTGCCCACGCAAAAATAACATACACACACACACACAAATACACAAACACACACACATGCACAACACAGTTCACAGTTCGAAGCTCGCACAGCAAAAAGCGGATGACTCATGCAGAGTCCTCCAAACACACACACATAACAGCGCGCATGTTCGTGCCAAATTTGTTGTGCCAGTGTGTGTGTGTGTTTCTGTGTGTTTGTGTGTGTGTATATGCTTGTTGTTCGACAATTGCTTCTTGAACTGGCACCTACCACAGTCAGCAGGAGCCGCAGTCAAACTTGGTGAATCATCCTTTTTAGAGGCGCGCACGTTTCCTGCCATCCAGCCACCCCTCCCCCCCTCATACACACACACAACACACACAAACTACTGCACCCTACTCGGCTTTTATGTGGCAAACAAGCGACTGCCGTCTAGCAAATACACAAAGAAATTACATTTATAGAAGCCAAAAATTTCAAGTTCAGTTACGATATCTTAATTTTAGCTCTATTCTTTAGCGTGTGGCTATCCAATTTGAGCTTAAAAACTTTTTTAACTTTATTTAAATATGTTAAGTAAGAAGTATTAATGTAAGTCTAATAGTTAAAACAGAAATAAAAAGACTCTTAAGCAAAATCTTTAAAATTGCAGTTTCTTGAAAAAAATAACAAATTCATAATAAGTTTATTTAAGTTGTGAATAACAGTAAAATTAAAAATAAAACAAATTTAATAAGGATGAAAAGACAAATTCATTAGACAAATTTTAAACACATATTATAAATAAAAATATTATGAATAAAAACTCAGACGAAATTCAAAGAAATATTGGCTGAAATCTTTTAGGAACAGTAAATTTGGGCATACGAACTCGGCTACCAAAATTTCTAAAGACCTGTTTCTCGAATCGATCTTTGTCGAAGGTATAAGCTGAAATCTATCATTAGGTCTAGAGTCTAGATATGTGGAGGACAATCGCCAATCACTAGTCCCTGATGTGCAAAGTCGAAAGATCTTAATACATGTATAGAACATTTGTTCCAAATTTGCAGTGGTTATTCTTCTTAGCATTGAAAACAAATTGAGTCTATACGAAAAGACGAAAGAACAGTAGACGGACAGACGAACTTTTGAAAAATATGATACTCGTTTTGTCGACCATTCACAAATAAATAGGAAATAAATTTAATAATAAATATAAAATTAATAATACAAAATATATGTTGCTAGTTTTTTAGCTATTTAGACGCATGATATCAAATCATATGTCTAAGAGCAACTATTGTGTCGTTTATATTTTTAACAAAACCTTTGTTATGTTTTTTAAAGCATTAGAAACTTTTCTCTTTGTGTGGCAGCTGCCATACACAATATTTTGTGCCTCAACTGTGTTGCTTTTCATCTTTTTCATAATCAACTTATTATTTCAAGGTCTGCTCAAGAATTTAGTTTTTTTGTCATTAGTTAAACACGAATACCCCTAATGCTTGAATTGCCAGGAATGTTGTAACTTTCGGTGCCGCGTTGTCGCGCTGATTGCGTGTATGTGTGTATATATGTGTATGCGAGTGTGTGTGTGTGTGTGTGAGAGTGTATATCTGTGTGTGCTAGCATAGTTATAGGCGCGCGTGTCCCGCCTGTAGACGTATGTAGGTGACTAAGAGTGGGCCACGCCTCATTGCCCAGTTGCCATAAAATGCATGTGGCAACATTTGCCGTGCTGCTGCAAGGTGGCAGCTGCAGCGTCAACTGCAATTTGAAAGCAGCCCCAGCCAAATTGCCAACTGCTCCAATTGGAGGGGGGAACACTTAAAAGTGCTCCCACATAAATCATGCGGCAAGGCATCCCAAAAAAAAAAAGGAAAGGAATAAAATAATGCGGGCCCAAAAACCGCACTGTGGTCTTGGGGCTAATACAATTCAGCAATATTTAAAACAAAGTGCCGAGCGAAAAGTGTCCGCCAGGAAGCCATTTTACGGTCCTGCGGTGCATTAAGTGCACGGCCAGGTGAACCGAAGCCCGAGCAACTGCGTGTGGTTTCCCCGTGAATGCCCTCCCTTGCCCGCACCCAACAACTTTTATTATATTTTTAGCGGAAATTTATGTTTATTGCTCGGCTGCCACATTTTACCCTTAAAAAAATGGCATGGGTTAGCACAAGTTTGTCATTAGGTTTGCCATTAAGAAAAAGTTTAAAAGGCTAAAAAAATCGTGAGCACCTGAATATACCACTTCTAAGTAATGTAAAATGCAACTACTTAAGACTTCAATTGAAGATATACATCAATTTCTGCTTTCCAAACACTGTCAAACGGAACTACTTGAAATATTTCTTAATTCTATAACACATTTTTAACGGTAGACACTGTTCGGTGTGTTGTAAAACGCTTTTTGTTCTCTGTGATTTTCCCTTTTCTGTGTTGAAAACAAGTTTTTGAGTATATTTTTATTTATTCATGCAGTTTTGTGGGCTGCTGTGGCATGAAAACAAACTTGGGCCAAGCCGTAACTGCATAAAATGTGGGCTGCTAAAACATGGAAACTTATTTTAAATACGAAAAGAACTCAAGGTTGAAGTCAGGCAGGTAAAAAGCAGAAAAACTAGAGACGCTTGCAAATATTTAACTTTATAATTTAATGCTCTATTATTACTGGACTTTATTACACTTAAAATCGCACAGAACTCATTTCAAATAAGTTTTCATCGTTTTGCCCCAATCAAGAGCTGCTCTTATGACGCACAAGAGAAATGTTTGCTCTGCCAACTGATGCGCAAATAGGAAACGGAACGCCCACTCATCGTCGGACAGTCGGATAGATGGACGGCCAACATGGACATGGACATGGACACGGACATGAACATGACTTGAACATTAACATGGTCACGAGGACACAGACATTGTCATTTACCCAACCACACAAGATGTGCTTTTGCGTCGTTGACAAGGTAAAGGCTAGCACTGGAAGGACCGAAAAGGTCAGAGGTTGTGCGCAATCAGGGCACCAACAATATTAGGCAAATATAATAAACTAGATAAATTTTAATTATTATTATTATTTATTATTTTCATGAGTGTGCCATTTCCAAATAATCATAAACTTTACAGCCTGATAGATGAAAGGCCAATTAGCTGTGTTCGCTATTTTCATAAAAAGGGTTTATTTTATGCTTGAACATGGTAAAGGAAGTATGAAAAGTTAACTTAGATAAAATATATATTGGGAAATACCCTTGAATATATAGTAAGTGTGTGCTGTATACCCTAACTCATATACACAACTTTGTTATCTTATATGGAATATTTATTCTAAGATATGGTACATCTATGATATAGTGCTCCGGTGATAAGATTTTGAAGATATGTTGGAAGCATAATGAAGTTAGTAATTGGAAAGTTTATTCGAGATATTCAACAACATCCAAAAGTTGAAGCCTTAAGACTCAAGAAATCCTTTCTTGATGAGCAATGCGCGAATTTCATCTTTAGCGTTAAAACTTAAACTTTTCATATATAAACCAATTTTTGATCGATTATTCCTAAAGATGAATGAGAATTCGTCCAAAGTTAATAAGATTGGGTTATATGGGAGAAGTATAGTGCAGTTTGCAACTGCCAAGTTTCATTAAGATATTCTGAAAAAGAAAAAATAACTTAATTCCTATATCAGCTATAAGATATAGTCGTCTGATCCAGCCAATTCCGAAGTAACCGCTGACTGACATAGAAACAGGCAGACGGACATGGGTATATCGACAGATCGACTCGGCTGTAATACTGATCAAGAATATATATACTTGCGTAACACACTTCATAACAAAACAAAACGAAATGACTAGAAAAAACTTCAAGAAAAATCTTAAATTCCTTGAAAATTGCAATTTATGAGTTTTAAAATGCCGCTATAATTGCTTGTATATCTTTTATAAAAGGGTACAACATTCTCACAGGCACTTTTACGCACTCAACTGGCGCGCACTTGCCTACTGCAAATATTTGCGCGTTAAAACTCAATTTCGTTGTTTGACGTCAGTTAACGGGACTCGCGGTCAATCTGCAACTTGATAACGACAACAACAAGAACAGCAATAATAATAAATGTAAGGCGTGGGCAGCGCCTGGCGGCAGGCAATGGCAAATGTGAAAGCGTCTGATAGCCGTTGTCTGAGGCTGATGACAGGTTGCACCATATGCTCAATGGGGTGTATTTTTAGCAGAGTGTCCAAAGGCAAGGAAGAAGGGAAACAACAACAGCTGGCAACAACAGCAACAGGATAACAGTTAGTTCGAAATGTGCGTGTGAAATTGTGTGCGTGTGCGCATAACAGGACGCTGTTACAGTCCTGGCCTGGAATATTGATTTTTCAACAAAATGCGTTGAATACATTTTCACGCCTTACATTAGTCACCGCTGACAGGAAAAAGAGGAAAACGTAAAACCTCAAAATATATATTTCAATAAATTGACGCGCTACTCACATTCCAATCCCCAATTCGACGGCCACTGCAATTGCAGCCGTTTCCTATTCCAATTTTATGTTATCCACTGGACACACTAATTTATTGCACTAGTTTTTTTTTATTGTTGCTTAAACGTTTTGCTTTTTGCACAGTTTTTGGGTCTTTTTAAAGCGTTTGCATGTTTGAAATTTTATGTTTTGTTTTTTTTTTCGTTGGGTCTTTGTTTTATTTGCAGCGCATTTGCATTGCAGTTTTCCGTTTCAGCCGTACCGAACGCGTACGCACGCCAAGTGGATCTGTAGCTGCCAAGTCTGTGTTACGCGTGCTGGAAAATTGTTTGCACTTGCGCACGCGAGCGTGGGAAAGCTGTGGAAAAGCCGCGCGAAGTGAGTTTTCCGCCCACCCAGGCGTCGACCAGCCTGAGTTTGTTTTTGTTGTGGCCAGCGAACAGCTGAGCGAATGCCACTCCAGTGTTGGCAAATGGCTGAGCAAAACAGCTGCTTGCACAGGGTGACACGAGTTTATATTATCGGCTGCTGTTTACTTTTTGCGTTTCAACTAACGGCATTAATTGGTCACCAATTTATTGGCCGAAATGTTCGACTACATTTAGAGCCTGTGGCTGCATATACGATACATTAAACATAAAGACAATTGAGTATTGCGCACCTAGGATAACTTCTTGGCCTCCTGGAAGCGGCACGAAATGTCATCCCAATTAGCAATTTCCCAGATAGCCTCAACATACGAGGGACGCACATTCTTGTACTGCAAATAGTAGGCATGCTCCCAGACATCGATTCCAAACAGGGGAATGAGACCGGTGGAGGCTTCCAACGGATCCTGATTGGGTAGTGCAACCAGCTGCAATTTGCTTGTCTTCTTGTTGTAGCCCAGCCAGCCCCAGCCAGAGCCCTGCACGGCTACGGTGAGCGCGCTAAGCTCCTTCTTGAACTCATCGAAGCTCTTCCACTGCGACTCAATGGCGCTTTTCAAATCATCGCTGGGCTTCGACTTGTTGGGCGAGAGATTCTGCCAGAAGATAGTGTGATTTATGTGGCCACCTCCATTAAATCGCAAAGCCGGCGCTAATTGAATAATTTTGGTGGTGTCGCTCTTGCACTTGGCATCCTCCAGCTGCTCCTCGGCGGCATTCAAATTGTTGACGTAGGTCTGGTGATGCTTTTGATGATGCAGCTCCATAATCTCACGGGAAATAATTGGCTCCAATGCAGCATAATCGTAGGGCAGCTTAGGCAATGTATGCTTGCCCCGCGAGCTGACGGCGCTGCGGATTTAATAATAAATATGTATATTTATATTTAGCTGTAAAGTTCACGGCCGCCATTGTCGATTGCTGTTGTTGCTGTTAATTTATGTAATCGCAGCTTTGCGTCGGTGCCGGCATTCTCTAATATTAAATATTTGATTTACTCACCGTGCTGCCTTAGTAAAATTGCGTGCCAGAAACATTCTTGGAATATATTATTTAACCTGAGTATTGAATACTTGTTAATTTTCAATAAAAGAATCTAAAAAGTTCTATGATCTTATTAGCTTACCGGAATCAAGTGTGACATCTAGCGGCAAACACTGAAATACACACAGCCAACACTGAAAATATGTTGAAAAAAAAACCCTTACGAAAATACTGCGTCGCTAACAGCGCACAGGTAACGTAGTGTGCAACTGTTAACAGAAAACTTGTAGCAACAGTTAGCTTAACAGAGCACTGTTACGTGCCCCAGTGCTGCATAAGTCGCAACGTATTTAGCCGTTACAATTTGAAATAAGCCACACACATAGGAAACATGTTCAGGGAACACAGCAAAATATGTCTCAGTTTTGTTTGCCTTCGAAAATTGAAATCGATATTTCCGACCAAAGGGCACAACAAATTCTGTTCAAATCTTTAAAGCATCGTAAGTTTTCGGCACTGGTTTTTAGGATTGCGTTACATTTAAATCATTGATTGCACCTGCAGGCGTTGCCAAGATGCAAGCGGACGAGCTGTCCACCGCTGTGGTCATCGACAATGGCTCTGGTATATGCAAGGCGGGCTTCTCCAGCGAGTCCTCACCCCGTGTTGTCTTTCCCTCAATTGTGGGCAGGCCCCGCCATCTGAACGTCATTCTGGACTCGGCCATCGAGGACTGCATCATTGGCGATGAAGCGGTGAGAAAGCGAGGCATTCTCACACTCAAATATCCCATTGAGCATGGCGTCGTTACCAACTGGGCTGACATGGAGAAGATATGGAAGCACACATTCGAACAGCTGCGTGTTGAATCCGATGGTCATCCGGTGCTGCTCACCGAACCGCCACTGAACCCCAAAAAGAATCGCGAAAAGATGACCGAAATTATGTTTGAGAATTTCCGTGTACCCGCACTCTATGTAGCCATTCAGGCGGTATTGTCGCTGTATGCCACCGGACGCACCATTGGCATTGTCGTAGACTCTGGCGATGGTGTCACCCACACTGTGCCCATCTATGAGGGCTACGCCCTGCCGCACGCCTGCATGCGCCTAGATCTGGCTGGACGAGATCTGACCGACTATTTGGGCAAATTGCTTATGGAACGCGGTCACACGTTAAGCACCAGTGCAGAGCGCGAGATTGTCAGAGAGATCAAGGAGAAGCTCTGCTATGTGGCCACCAATTTCGATGAGGAGCTGCATGAATCCACTCTGCGCAAACACGATTTGGATGAACTATACGAATTGCCCGATGGCACAACTATAAATATTGGAAACGAGCGTTTCCGTTGCCCGGAGGCGCTCTTTAAGCCCAGCATGCTGGGCCAGGAGGTGCCGGGACTGCACGAAGCCGTCTTCAACTCGATACTTAAATGCGATATGGATCTGCGCAGGGATATGTACGCCAATATTGTGCTCTCGGGCGGCACAACCATGTTTCGCAACATTGAGGTGCGTCTGCAGCAGGATATTTCGGTAATGGCGCCCTCAACAATGCGCATCAAAATTACAGCCAATCCGGAGCGTTGTTTTGCCGTCTGGTCTGGCGGTTCCGTATTGGCCTCACTCTCCAGTTTCCAAAATATGTGGATCGATTGCGCAGAATACGACGATGTCGGTCCCAGCATAATACATCGCAAGTGTTTCTAATTCGGGCAAGTGGCGACTGCCAAATGGAATGTGAAATGGGAGAGCGCAGATTAAGTTTGTTTATTTCTATATTTTATATGTTAAATCAAATAAAGAACGCCAAGGTGTAATCAAGTACAGCATAAATCTTGACAATGTTAATGCTGTTGCTGCTAAAAAGTAGCAGAATCTAACGTTAAGTTGGCAACAAACAGTTGCTTGAAACTAAGCTGTCAAATATAGCCAAATCACCTTGAAATTTCAACTGCTTGCGGCTGGCGGTCTCTAAAAATAGCCATATTTAGCTATCAAATAGCTGAACGGGCAGCGCTGATCTTGATGTGCCGCCAAAACAGTGTAACCTAATGGCTTTTTATTTTAAAAGTATTTTAAGCCTTTTTCATATGTAAGGATTTACCAACACTTCTTTTAAACGCTTTAAAGACATCGAGGAATAAGCTTTAAACGTTTGACTTTTAGATTAGATGCAGTTTTCACTTAAAGGGAAATGGGATAGGAATTTTCTTGTTTTAGTTTCCATTTGAATCACATTTTAAGCAATTAAATGAACCTTTTTCATAACTGGGCTATAAAAAATCAATCAGGGATTTAAAAACGGGAGCCTGGGTAAATGAGGCAAAGTAGCTTTCGAATAGATCATACCTGGTAGCCATTCAAATTTGTTGCACGTAAAACTATTCAAGGCTGCAAACAGATTGTGGCTCGAATCGAAAGTTAACAAGCCGAACTTAGAGACGAGTTTCGAACTGCGTGCCGTATCGCAAACAATTTGTTTTTCTATAGCTTTTGGCTCGCATTACTATAAAGTATATAAAATGAGACAAATATAGCTGCAACTGCAATTCTATCAGCCACAGGTGACCCGTCTCTATGAACTCAGAGGCAAGTGAAGCTACAGTCGCCGAATTTGGTATATGCATATACAGATATAGCCTGATATTAAATTCTACAAATTTAGGTTCAATATTAGCGACACCATTGTGCGCCACAAATGTATATCATTAGCATTATATAACGATGACAATTTTGATTTTAATTAATTGGGAATTTATTAAGCCAAGTGACGCATACAAATGAGGCGCTTGCCAAGTTGCAACATCACACAAATAGTTGCTGTTGCTGTTATTGTTGTTGTTGTTGTTGTAACCTTAACTTCCTTTGCCGCAAGCCTAAGCTGCAATATTTGGGCACACGTGCAGCGGGCGACAAGCTGAATGGGAATGCGAATCTTGAGACGGAACGCATTTACCTTCAACAGCCACATAATCAGCGGCTGCAGCATCGATGTTGCAGCAGCCGTTATTGCAGTTGTTTTTGTTGTTGTTGTTGCAGTTGTTGCTGCTGTCGTCAGCTGCACTTGAGGCGCTTTTGTTTGTGCACTTCAAAAGATACACAACAAATTTTCGAATGCGGATCTGCGCTCAGCTCCGCACTCGAGGGTCGCACGTGGCGCACTTCGCAGCCAAACTTCTGGCTAGCTGCGTTTTTGCAGCTGCATTAGCATTAGCATTAGCATTCGCATTAGCCCTTCTAAACGCAATGCTCAATTTGAAGTGTAAAGTTCAATAAACTGTCAGCGTTTAGCGTATTGCTCCATATTTGGGCCACATTTCATTTAGCCAGTCAACTGGGGCCTAAGCCAAACTGACAGCCGCTGTCAAAGGGTGCCACAAGCTATTGTTGTTGTCAATGTTGTTGTTGTTGTTGCTATTTGTCGGTGACTGTTTGTTTGTGTCACTCGCCTTCACCAAGGTTGCGTAAATTTATCACTTCACTTTGCCAGCGGGCGCTACTCTTGGCCCTGCTGAAAGAGAGCGGCTCATCATGTTCTCATCACGTCTAGAAATAAATAAACGTCGGTTCGGTTCACGGTTTGAACCAGTAAATGGTCTCGAGGTTCGGTACGTGAATCGAGCAATCACGCTCTTCTAAACCAGGCTTTGTTCACATTTAATCCAATTCATCAAGTCTGGTTCGAGCTGGTTCGTTGGTTCAGTTCTTGGAAGTTCGGAACGCGGCTTTGAAACGGCTTGGTTCACAGCTGGTTTGTAGGTTAGGTCCATGCTCCTTTTCTCTCTTATTATTGCTATTGCCCAAACCTTAGCTTCAATTTAAACATCAGTTTAAGCGGTTGTCATCTCTCTTGGCACATAAATTCAAATTCGTGAGGCTATAAATTAAAAAGGGACATGCGCGAATTGGACAGCAGCCGGCGCAGGCCTCAAGATTGTGTCGTGAAAACCACCAAAAAAATATGCATATATATAATGAAAAATAAAAACAAACTACATGATGAGCTCATGTCTAATGCATTTTGTCTCCATCTGCTCGTCTGGGCTGTCTCTTAAGTCTGTTAAGTCTGGGATATGTCGCCCAGACGCTAATTTTATATGCATGCAATGGAGCGTAACTGAAAGTCGAGTGTTGGAATCAACAGCTAAGTATTTGAGTTAGTTTTGCGAAGCTGCCACAACGGGCAGGGACGAAGAGGGGAAGGGAGATAATCGCATGTCGCATGGGAAAACTTTTGCACAGCCGAAAATTTCTGGGTTAATGAAGGCTTAAGAAACTAATGATATATAATTATAACTATTTGCTTGTTAAGGCAAAACGACTTTCTATAATAGAAATAATCCATCTCAATCGTTTTGCTACTCAAAAATGACTAGACCGTAAACTAAACTATAAATTGTTAATGTGATTATGAAAAGAGGATATAGTTAAAAAAATACAACTTGCCTGCGAATATACATAGCTATATTCCATATAATTGTCAATTGAACAACGAGGATTCGAGATCGAATCTAATATTTATTACCAATAATAATTTGTTGTCCCCATATTCTTACTTTCTTAATTTACTTTAAGATTCATATATTTCACGCTCATCCCAAATCTGTGCCACTTTAGGGACAAACAACTTTTATCCCCTGTAGCTCTTATGTCAACACAATTTAAGAAGGGTAAGGGTGGGGTGAGGCCAAAATGTATGCATCTATAAATAGTCGAGAGTCGAGGCTAGCTTACCTTTTGGTCCTGCAGCCTAGGCATTGCGCAGCTGCCAGCAGGGTTGTCAGCTTCATAAACAGGAGCATAATATTTCTCCACAGGTGCATTGCCAAATCATTTTTTCTTAATCCCCTTGAACTGCCTGGCAACCCTGGGTAGCAACAGTTTGTCTGTGCTGTGCGCTGCCAGCTGCGCTCATTATCCTTGCCAGCCTGAGCATGTGTGCCAGCAAATTGAGCTCTCCGCCGCAGTTGTTAACTTCAGCCACGCCTACTAAATCCCGCCTGCGTTTGCTATGCTTTTGCGGGCTGCTCATCTCCATTTACACGCTGTACGTGAAAATCCAGCTGGACCACGACGAGAACTACACGGCCATGTGCGATTTGGCCGAGAGAGTAAGCTGCACCGCGGTCTTCAAATCGGAGTGAGTCCTTTGCATGTTTAACTAAATCACATTCGACTCTTGTTTCATGCGCTTCTTGCAGCTATGGACGCGGCTTTGGACTCACGCAGCTGGTTTTTGGTAGAAGCACGAATTATTTAAATCCACCCAATGGCTCCATTGGAGTCGTTTTTTATACTCTCCTATTTTTATCCTGTAAGTCTTGTTTGTCCTTTGCTGATGTCATTCTGAAGTTTTGCCTCCCCTCCCCTTTGCCCCTGCAGCCTTCTACGAGCGCCGTTGGCTCTGCCAGCTGCAGTTGGTCGCCGCAGTTCTGACCCTTCTGCTCTGCGTCTACCTTGGAGGTCTGCTGCTCCTCGTGCTCTACGACTTCTGCCTGGTCTGCGTGCTCATCTATGCCGTGCACACGCTGCTCCTGCTGGAGGTCTATGGACGTAACAAGCGCCTCTATGCAATCAAAACAGCTGTCGAGTGAAATATATCACACATTTTTCATTGAATCTTATTGTTTCAAATACGGAATTAATTAATTCTTTTTTCTGCTGTGCAAAAAGACCACCGACCAACTGCTTTAAATAATAAAATATATTTAAGAGTATTTTATGATACTTTTAAATATTATTGCAATGTTTTCAGTATCTAATGAAACATGTAAAATAACACAATGAATATGTAAATAAACTTATTTTGATGAATGAAAATATGTGAATTTAAAAAAACTTAATTCTTTCGATAAACATTAAAAAACATATTAAATAATAAGGATCTCAAATCGAACCAAACGTCTGTTCTAACCGCGAACTGAGCCTTAGTTTAAAACGTAATCCGAGTCTTGGTTTAAATCGTAAACCGAGCCTTGGTTTGGTCTGTGAACCGAGGTGTGGTTTGAATTATCAATCGAGCCTTGGTTTGAAATGTGAACTGAGTCTTGGTTTGAACCGGGAACGGAGCCTTCGCTTAAGTTGTTAACCGAGCGTTGGTTTCAACTCTAAACCAAGCCCTGGTTCGAATCTCAAACCACCACAGTTTTGCGTGGATTTGCAATGCACTGCTTGTAATTAATGTAAAAATAGTTAAAGATAATTTAACAAGTCGCTAGCAGCTAAATTATGTGGGTCATTGGAGGGTTAAGCTGCCGACATGGACGTGCTCCCACAACCCAAGAAGTGCTTTTGCCTTCTGTTTTAGTAGCTTTTGCCTGGTCTTTGTCTACAAATCGCTCACTTTTGACCCCAACTCCACCCGGCACGTCTGCACATTTGCGACTCAATGCGGAGGTGGATCTCCCAGCACGTAGTTGAGCAATTAATTTTACAGTTCGCCCCTGTCTCTCACTCTCTGAATGGCTGTGTGTGGGTTGTTGTTGCTCGAATCCGGCTCAGTTGGAATGGTCGGTAGTAGGTGAGAATTGAGCACAATTAATTTGACATAAATTGAAAATCTAGATGGGCTACAAAGTATGATTCAATTAAAGCATCGCTTGATGATGCACAATGGTAGCGTTCGGAAATGATGCAGTAATAATTTTCAGATAACAATTAATCGATAAATAATCGATAGCTATTCAATTACTTCATTTATGGTTATTTGACGATCCTTTCAATCTCTAAACAAATATAAATGTATTTTTATAAATTAAACATCTATCTACAGTCACGGAACACCTTTTTCGATCCTCTATCTATGTTAACACTGTAATCGATAGTTAATCGATATGTTTTTAAGTACTTTAGGTATGAATATCTAAAGATAACACATCTGTTTATAGTTGATGACCACTTATCCCAACTTTTGATCTGTTTAGATATCTTTATGTATATGTTTTAAGCCCTCTCTACGAATCACTTTACATTAAGATTTTGATTTACGACGATAGCCCGTTAACAACATCAGATTAAAGTTTTAATAGCTTTCATTTTCTAAGTTGTCTATCTAATGCCTTTGATATAGGTTTTGAAGGATGACTTGGCCTCTTCTATGGAAACCGATTAATCGCAATCTTTATGCTTAGTTATCAATCAAATTCTAACCTCCAAAATATGCATATATATTACTCAAGCTATATCTACTTCAATCGCTTGACAGCTGAATAATTCGATTCATATCGAGACGATCTTTTCAGCCAGGCGCTACAAATTGTTGCCGAGACTTATGCTAAAAGCCCATCAAACGCATTTCAATTGCGCCTTCATAAACGATCCATCGATTGTGATCGGTACACACATGTGCGGCACTCTCCAGGGCTCCTCATATACTCCCAATTGGGGTCGCCTGTGGCACGATCTTCTTCAATTTTGACAAGGCAAACAAAACGCAAAACGGCAACAGGCTGGGACCGACAGCGGCAGCTGAGGGGAAGTCTGGCTGCGACGTTGTGTGGCAAACATGGCTGAAAAAACATTCACCCAGCGACGGAGTAGACTACTTTGCGCCAACGTATGTAACACTCTGGCATGGTAAAGAGGGGGCGGTGGGCAACAACAACAAAGACAACAACGACAACAAACACAATCACTCGCCAAATGATGTGCAGCCAAAAGAAGGCGAATCAGCCGCGTGGCAACCAGCAGAGCCGGAGGTGAAGCTCATCCGACAAACAATCGCAACCATCTAAGCCAGAGCAGAGCGCCGCTGATTGAGATTGAGATTTTTCTGGCAGGCGGCGATAGAACAGCAACAACAACAGCATAAAAGAGTGATCGACCAAAAAATACCCTGTTCTTATTGAATAACTATTTTGTTTGCTGTTCGATTTATGTGACAATTTTAAACAACTACAACTAAACAACTACATTTAAACTGCGCTAGCTCCTAAAATATGTTAGATATGCTTTAAAATATCGAAGTTAGCTATCGATATTTATCGATTTCGAGCTAATAAAGTCAATTAGCGACGGTATGAAACAATTTACAAGCTAAGCACTTGGCGTGCTACTGGTGATGTCGCTCGTTCCTCAAATACACAAAATATACCCATGAATATCTAAATTATGTATCGATATTTATCGATGTTAAGCCAGTAATGTCAGCTAGCGATAATTTGAACTAAATTCAAGCTGCGCGTGCAACAGATAATTTCGCTGACTTCCAAAATAAACAAGTTAAGCCTTTTCACATTAAAACTTGATGTCGATATTTATCGATTTCGGTCTTATGAGGTCAGCTAACCAGAATTAGAAGCACATTTTGATTATAAATGCTATAGTAGAGCCTACTTACCATGTTTACTTTCGATTCGTTCTAATACCGATGCGTTCTGACTGACATACTGATCTAGACATGTCCAACAATTTATGAACTCGACGCTGCCTGCTTCTGCCTGTTGCCTCACTTTCCACAACTTTATTATGCCCCTTTTTGGGCATTTCCAATGGGCACAGGGTATAACAACTGCAACAATGCAGCTCCAAAGTGTAACTGCAGCTGAGTTGGCGCTGTGAAGATGATCGTATGTGGCAGCTGCGGTTGCCACACGTAGCAGCCAGCAGCCAACAGCCAGCAGCAAGCGGCAAGCAGCCAACGCCAGATGAGCCGAGCGACATCAACTCATAAACGACTCTACCTCTGTCCCTGCCTCAGACTCTGTGTACGTGTGTGTGAGTGTGTGTTTGTGCATCCTCGACTTTCAGTTTCGTTTGCTGCAATTGGAGAGCAGCGCACGTCGAGCGTTTCATATAAATATGCGCAGTGGCTCCACATTGAGATCAGTCAGAATTTGGCGCTGCTTCGTGGCGCAAATATCCAAAAAACAAAACAAAAAAGTCAACCAAGTTCCCAAGTTCTCACGTGGAATATGTTCAAGTTATTTGGCCTAACGCTGTTGTTGACGGCGGCGGTGCTGGCACGCCCCGAGCCGCCAGTGAACTCATATCTGCCGCCCTCGCCCGGTGATAGCTACGGTGCGCCGGGTCAGGGACAGGGACAGGGACAGGGTGGCTTTGGCGGCAAACCCTCGGATAGCTATGGTGCTCCTGGTGCTGGCAACGGCAACGGCAACGGACGTCCCTCGAGCAGCTACGGTGCTCCTGGTCAGGGACAGGGACAGGGTGGCTTTGGCGGCAAACCCTCGGACACTTATGGCGCTCCTGGTGCTGGCAATGGCAACGGCAACGGTCGTCCCTCGAGCAGCTACGGTGCACCCGGACAGGGGCAAGGACAAGGCGGTTTCGGCGGGCGTCCTTCGAGCAGCTATGGCGCCCCTGGTCAGGGACAAGGCGGATTCGGCGGCAAGCCCTCGGATACCTATGGTGCTCCTGGTGCTGGCAACGGCAATGGACGTCCCTCAAGCAGCTATGGCGCGCCTGGTCAGGGACAAGGTGGAATTGGTGGTAAACCCTCAGATTCTTATGGTGCTCCTGGTGCTGGCAACGGCAACGGCAACGGACGTCCTTCGAGCAGCTATGGTGCTCCTGGTCAGGGTCAAGGACAGGGTGGTTTTGGTGGCAAACCCTCAGATAGCTATGGTGCTCCGGGTGCTGGCAACGGCAATGGACGTCCCTCAAGCAGCTATGGTGCACCTGGCCAGGGACAAGGCGGATTTGGTGGCAAACCTTCGGACACATACGGCGCTCCAGGTGCTGGCAACGGCAACGGTAACGGACGTCCCTCGAGCAGCTATGGTGCACCTGGCCAAGGACAAGGTGGTTTTGGTGGCAAACCCTCGGATACATATGGTGCTCCCGGTGCTGGTAATGGCAATGGTCGTCCATCGAGCAGCTACGGCGCGCCCGGTCAGGGTCAAGGACAGGGTGGTTTTGGTGGCAAACCCTCCGACTCATATGGTCCTCCCGCATCAGGTGCTGGCGCCGGCGGCGCTGGTGGCCCCGGTGCTGGTGCTGGTGCTGGTGCTGGTGGTGACTATGACAACGATGTAAGTAGCACATTGTTTGACCTGGGTTCTTACTTGGCTCCTTCCACACACGCACACACGAACAAAGATAAGCTCGCCTGGAGCTGAACGCTTCCCTGCCCATGCTGCACAGCACGCTCTGATCTCTTGCACCGCTCCGAATTGCTTGCGCCTCTCTCTCTCTCTCGCTATCTCTTAATCTCACTCCTATCTCTCACTTAACTCTATCTTGAACTGTCTCTATCTGTCTCTCTCTTTCTCTCTCCACACGCTCTCTCGCTGCCCCGTAGGAGCCAGCTAAATACGAATTTAATTACCAAGTTGAGGACGCTCCAAGTGGGCTCTCATTTGGGCATTCAGAGATGCGCGACGGTGACTTTACCACCGGCCAGTACAATGTTCTGTTGCCCGATGGAAGGAAGCAAGTAAGCGAGCTGGTCATCTAGCTGAGTGAACGCTGGGGAAACAGGACAAAGAATGCCACTACGAACGTAGCTAATCCTTGCCTCTTTCTTGTTCTCTTACAGATTGTCGAATACGAGGCGGATCAGCAGGGCTTCCGTCCACAGGTACGCTACGAGGGCGATGCCAATGGCAATGGTGGTCCTGGTGGTGCTGGCGGTCCTGGTGGAGCTGGCGGTCCTGGCGGTCAGGATTTGGGTCAGAATGGTTACTCCAGCGGTCGTCCAGGTGGTCAGGATCTGGGCCAGGGTGGTTACTCGAACGGACGTCCAGGCGGTCAGGATTTGGGTCAGAATGGTTACTCTGGTGGTCGTCCCGGCGGTCAAGACTTGGGACAAAATGGCTACTCCGGCGGTCGTCCAGGTGGTCAGGATCTGGGTCAAAATGGTTACTCCGGCGGTCGTCCCGGTGGTCAGGATCTGGGTCAGAATGGTTACTCCGGCGGTCGTCCCGGTGGTCAAGATTTAGGTCAAAATGGCTACTCCGGCGGTCGTCCAGGCGGCAATGGTGGCTCCGACGGTGGCCGTGTAATCATCGGAGGACGCGTGATTGGCCAGGACGGTGGTGATGGCCAGGGTTACTCGAGTGGCCGTCCCAACGGTCAAGATGGCGGCTTTGGACAAGACAACACGGACGGTCGGGGATACTCCAGCGGCAAGCCAGGCCAGGGACGCAACGGCAATGGCAACTTCGGACCCGGTGGCCAGAATGGCGACAACGATGGCAGCGGCTACAGATACTAGATACTAGGACCAACGACCACCGAATATGAGACACACTAGCTAGCATTTCAGACGAGTTATGGAAAGACGTAGAACAATATCTAGAACTTAAGAGACACCTTAGAACTATGAACTAGTTACCGTTACCCGCTTAACGGATTCACCAGATCTATCGCCCCACACTGTACTCTATACACATCTCACGCTATCTCATACTATCTCTTCCAACACAATATTTCCTCATCCAAACTTTGACTTCACTTAGGCTAAGCTCAACTTGTTGTAGTTGCATATGAGAAAAAAAAACATTCTGCTCACAAGCGGCAAAGAACCCAAAAAAAAAAATAATGGAATGAAGGAGAAGATATACAAATCAAGATTTGTTAAATATAAGAATTGATTGCCAATAAGTATGTGACGAAATAAAGACATATTTTTATAAAAAAAAACTATCTTGAATTGGCAGAAGCTCGGATTTGAGGATTATTCAAGAACGGCGACTGTTTTTATATTTGAAAAGCATAATTCGAGTTCATCAAGTTCCCATCATTGATCTCCTCCAATGCAGAACACTCAAAAGATAACATGAACTCGTAATCTTTTTGGCTATTCTACATTAAAATCTTAAAAATACATTAGAAGATTAATGTTGCTATAGAACGTGTTTTCTTAAAAGCCTGCTGAAGCTTGTTAAAAATTGCAGATATTATGATCCTACAACAGATCGCAAGTCTACGAGGATACCTTAAATGCAAATAAAGGATATAAAGAATCTGAGTGGATTTGGCTTTCTTTAAGGCTTGAATTGTGAACACAGTTGTTTGTCATTTTGTACTTGAGAACAGCGAAAATCTCTGGCAACACTTATTCACCATAAGTCGAATGAACCTGGATCTCTAAAATATTCCTCAATTCCGAGCATTTAAAAACCCTTTAGATCATTGCCTACTTTAATTTCTCAACATAAAACTAAAGCTTTTAATTAACATTTCTTAAATACAGTCATTTGTTTCAATATAATCACCGAAATTGGTCCAGGTATGATTCCAGAGGCGTGGATCGGCGCGCGGATCATCGGGCTTATTGGCAGGTGGCACTGCGGTGGCATTAAGCAGCTGCAGCTCCTTCAGCAAGAGCTCCAGCACCTTGGGATGCCTGACACAAAGATTGGGAATTTATTTACATTTTAATTGTAGTGATAGCCATACTCACTGCTTGGCCTGATTGCGCTGCTCGCAGGGATCATCGCGCACATTGAAGAGACAGGGCTCGATTAAGGGATTGCAGGCAATATCTGCTGCATCCTTTGGCTTGGGATCCGTGCAGATGACGTTGGCTGCTTCGCGCAGGCGTATCATATCCGCAGTTTTGGGCAACATTTTCAGCTGCTGCATGGCCTGGCCGGTGGCACTCTTCGCCACCGATTGCCAATCATAGTCGTGCGGATTGCGCATGCCCGCCGGCCCATACCAGCCATCCCAGGAGCCATTGTAGTTGGTGCCCTTGACCAGCTTCCAGTCGCCCATGCTGAGCGCGGCGCTGCCCCAGATGTCGTCTATGTTGTGCAGCACGCTCTTGCGCGGAGATGTCTCGTTCTTTAGCAGCGCCTGCCACAGGCTTATGCCATCCAGCTTAGCTGTGCCCAGCCTTACGAGCGCCGCCTCACCGCCCGCCGCTTCCACCAGCGTGGGCAACCAGTCCACAATGTGCATGGTCTGCTCCGCTGTGCGCGGGCGTTTGGTCAGTTGCGGCGACCAAACAAGCGCCGCACCACGCACACCGCCCTCCCAGAGCGTGTTCTTAACACCACGCAGGGGATAGTTGGAAGCAAAGTTGGAATTGAAGCCCTCCGCTGGGCCGCCATTATCCGTGGAGAAGACGATAATGGAATTCTCCAACATGCGAGATTTGCGCAGCTGCTCCACAATTTTGCCCACGGACTCATCCAAGGCGGTGACTAAGGCTAAAACAAAAACAAAAAAATTATAATAATTTCGACAAGCATATTATAAGAAATGCAAGTCCAACCCACCCGCATATTTGCGTCGTTTATAGTGTTGAATCGTGTCCAGTCTACGCACAGCGTCATCCTTGACGGGCAGCGGATTGTAGGGATTGCCCGAATGCACCGCCGCATGCGCCACGTAGAGGAACAGCGGACCCTTGGTGGCGTTGTGTTTGGATATCACATTCAGCGAATGCTGAGTAATCACATCCGTGCTGTATTGTCCATGCAGATCGTAGGCCACCTCAGTGCCATTGCGCATGTCCAGGCCCCAGTAGCCATGCTCCACAGCTGTGTGATCATTGTAATCATGGTGGCCCGACCAGTAGCCCACATGGCTGCTAAAGCCACGATAGAGCGGGGTATAAACACGCTGCCAGTGGCCCAAATGCCACTTGCCAGCAATGTGAGAGGTGTAGCTGCAAGGAATGAAAGGAATTTGTATTATTGCTGTATTAAGAAACAAAGCTTGACTTCTTACGAGCTCAAGAGCCGAATTGAAAGGTAAGCCACTTAATTGAGCCAAAAGGTCAAGGTCAACTCTGTGAAAACTTACCCCAAATCGTTGAGATATTGCGGCAGTATTTTCAGATCCAAAGGCAGGCCGCGCGGCTCAGCGGCAAAGAGCACCGTATGTTGCATGCCTGCACGAGAATTGGGGGCTAAGAAATCAGCTTAAGCCTGAATTTAAATAAACTCACCTGTGTGTATGGGATATTTGCCCGTCATGAGCGCTGAGCGTGAGGGCGTGCAAATTGGATTGACGTAGTAGCGATTCAGTATGAGACCCGAATAGGCCAATGCATCGATATTGGGCGTGGGAATCTGCGCCGAGCCACGGAAGCCCACATCATTGAAACCCTATAAAAAACAGAGCGGCAAATCAAAAAGAAATAATTGGCATGACTCTGGTTAAGCTCACTTACCAGATCATCCGCCAGAATAAAGATGATGTGCGGCTGTGCAACGACATAGCTGATGAGCAGCAAACATAGATGCAGCTGAAGATGGAGTTGCATATTGAATAGTTGCCTCATTTGCATTGTTTATACCCTGTACTCATGGCAAATGAACAAAAGAAAGGGCATCATAAAGTTGGTGGAATATACATATACGAAGGAAATGGCTGCTTTGAGCATATAAAGGATATAGAATATGGATCAGCATCAACTTCTGCGCTGATAGACATGTCTGATTACTTTATATGTTGGTTGATTTCCTCCGTTTTCTTGAAAATTAACAAGTATCAAATTCCAGCCTCAGACTTCAAACTATATCTGGCACATTTTAAGAACTATAGATTTCTGCACATCTACACAGACTGTTACTATATATTTTTACTAGATACCTCAACCACTTCTCTTCTTGGCGCAGAAGTATAGGGTAACTTCTAGTCTGGCGCATTCGACTAGGACACTGCAATGGGAATGGGGCAGGGCTTATGCGCTTGCAACGATTAGAGCTCATTAGTTGACTAATTACGCTGCACTCTCGAGACTCGAATGCGGGTTTATATTTGCTAGATACACATACTTGTGTATGCTAATTTCAGCAACATCTTGGTGCTGGGGTCTGTGCAATTGCAGCCATTGCCAATTGATTGGCTTTTGTATTTGCCGACTGACATTGAGTTCTCATTAGAGTAAAACTCGAAAAAAAGTGCCGATTCATATTTTGGCTTTGGGCCTAAAACTGGAACTGAACTGAATCAGCAGAATGTCAAGTTTATTATGTGAACTCGAATGTCTGTGTGCGAGCCGACATTCAATTGCGTAATAGATATGTTTACTTTAAAAAGTACTATATATATCGTATCCACTCTGAACGAAGAGTTAAGCTCGAAATGGAAATGTCTTTTATTGCGCTTATTTTTTATGGGCAGCATAACTCGTGGCTGACGCTGCCAACAGCTAATTAGCATGTGAATTGAACGTGGGGTTTGTCGACCCTTTTCCTCATTAGTGGGTCAAATAACTGACCAACAGTTGGCAACCAGACCAGACAATGGGCATACAGTGAAAGCTCTGCGAACGGACAGCCGCCAGAAGGCAACAAGCAAATCTTAATCGAATTAGTTGAGCAGGACGGAGCCCAAAAGCCGTGTGTGTTCCCTGGAGGAAGATTTAACTGTACAGATCAATTTGTCGAAAGATAAACCCAGTTACTCAAATAAAGCTTACGTATTAATATATTATAAAAATTTTAAATATTTGACTCACCCCTATAATGTTTTGTTTAAATAACTTATCCCATGAATTTCGTTTTACTTGACCACATTTATGATAAACAATGCCAGCTCTTTATCATTTATGCACAAACACAAATACTTTCAGTATTAATTTTTTTTAGCAAATTATAATGAGGCGTTAAGAGGCGCGCGTGCAAACAATTGATTTAATTTATGAGCACTGCACGCACTTAAAACTCTTTTTTATATATCTTTCATTTTCTATTTTAGCGCCAAAATTAATTTAAAAAATGAGCGCAGATTCAAACCGCTTCTCAGCACGTGCCAAATGCGACTGACCAAACGTTGGCCGCTCTTTAACGCTTACCGCGCTGTTGTCTGCGCCGGCGTCGCTGACCCTCTCTCTCAGCAAACGATAAACAGCGAAAGTCGCATGCGCTGTGAAATGCGCCGTCAACAGCGACAGCGACAGCTTCAAGTTCGATATGTAAACAGAGAGCCAACCAGGCACAACACGCAGTGAGAGCGCGACAACGGCGTTGCCAGACATTCTCAATAAATACATTTTTGTTTATGTTTTCAACCAACAATAACAAATTGCAATTAAACATTATAATTTTTCTTTATTAAAATACATAGAAGAATTTTCGGTAAAGTTTAAGTGCAGTTTTCTCAATATTTAAGTCATCTGATGAGCAAACGTAATAAATTTAAATTATGAACTTACATACCAAGTAAGTGTTAAATCTTTTAAGCACGCATTTAAGATCAGAATATGAGAATATAAGCCTAAGGCTGTACACTTAAATAACCACTGCCAATTTTAGCTATAGTTAAGTTTTGTTTGCGATTTTCATAACCTACACGAGAAATTTTAAAAACAGCCGGACATTATATACCAAACTTAAAATTGGCCAACACGACACACTATTGTACACAAATGTACACTATCGAAATAATTAGAAACATTACACAGGCAATTTTGATTGAGAGCTTTTAGGGGAAATACATTCCAGCACGTCCAAGCCAATGTATTATTACAGTAGCAGCCAACAGGAGAATCTTTAGAGTATTTCAAGATCGACGTGACGTATTTCTGGAAAATGTGTCTAGACAAAAACAAACGATTGTTTTCAGCAGGTATAAAAGATTAAAAAATAATTTAAGCTCACCCGCAAATTCATTTCGATGCGATCAATTTCTCCACCCATCAGGTCCAC